AAGAGTCTCTTTCACAGTATGCGACTAAACTGTGTACTGCATTTTTCTGTCAGTCCTGTAAGATGCTACCTAAAACTGTTCATGTACCTATGTACTTGACCAGGTGGCGTTTACGGCGATCCAAGTGGCAGGCACTAATTCTACAGTGAAACTAGATGATATTTCTATGAGAGATGGGACCTGCAGTCCTCCAGGCAGCTGTGACTTTGAGTCCGGACAGTGCAGCTGGGTCAACATCCCCAAAGGAGATGAGCATGACTGGGTGATGGCCAATGGGGGCTTCCAGAGTCCGCCTACAGACCACACCACTCAGACCCCAGATGGTACGACCTCAGATGTACCTCAACATAATAAGCTTAACATGAATATGCCACTGGAGTAGATATAGAGATCTTCTCACTGTTGTCAGATGCCATTAATGGGGGAACATGTCCACTTAATACCTCACTGAACCACCAAAAATTATTACCAAAAAAGTCTTCATATCCCAAAGAATAATCTCAGTAGTGAATTTGTTGATTTAAACCCTGGTGGGTGATGTTTTTCATTCATAACTACAATGGCATGGATGATGGTATTTATAGATTTAAATCCTTATAGCTGCACTAATCAATATTTTATATTAACATAAGGTCAAATTACTATGTATAATGTGAAAGGGATCCGTCCCATGGTACTGACGAACCCTCAGAGAATTATCGCCGGACTCTGCAGTTGCCTCAGTCTTTTAGTCTTTCAGAAACACGACTACAAATGCTAACGCTGCTGCTAACTTTGGTTTGTTTCGTTAACTGCGGAGCGCACAAAAATATGTGTTTGAAAATGACAGTGACAGACCTCAGAAAACATTTGAATGTAGGTTAGATGACTAGTATGATTAGCTGACCAAGTGCAGCTGTCAATGTTGCAATTAATGATTAATGATCAGCAGCTGTCGCCGCTTTTTAGCTGTCACAGTCTATTACTTATTAACTTCTCTTTTTGTCCCTGACTTATGTCCTGTTACATGTGACATATGACATCCTCCTTTATCAAAAGAAAAGGTTTCCTTATGACCTTTCTCTGGAAGAAACTTGAAACTGAGAAGGTCATTAAAAATTTAGAAATGATCATTCTTTTCTAAGAATTGTAATGTAATTTCTGCATTCAGAGTTTGAATAGTTCAAACAGCCAAAATGAGCAGCACTGAGAAGTATTCACGGCTGATAGTTTGCACTGAAAATGAGACATACTTTAATCTATCTTTATGTATTTAAATTATTAACAATGAGAGTGCAATGATCAAGCACTGTGGAGAATTGCAAAAAATATGTGTGGGTTAAGTAAATATTTTTCTTATTATTATTCAACATTTTTGTTTTCTTTTGCATGTAGGTTGGTTTTTGTTGAGCTCATCCCTGCACCTAAACCACAGCAGTGTAGCACAGGTGGTGTCAGAATGGATCCAACTGAAAGACACCACCTCCTGTCTCACCTTATGGTACTATATGGATAGCAGGTAAGCAGCAAAAAAAAAAAAATCCAAATCACCAACCTTCTCACATCATACAGTATGTGACAACGCAGAGGATGCACTTTATCCTGTTAAGCCTGTTTAGTTTCCTCATTGACTTCCTCAGGAAGTGTGCACAAATGTCATTCAGACATGAATCATCTGCTCTCACTTTGTGCAAGACTAAGAATATTCTGTGGCAGAGTTCAGTCTTTACACAAGACTTGATATTAAAAAATAGTTTTAAGTCCCTAAAAACAACCATCTGAAAATGTAAAAAAAACATAGATTACATATAAACTAGAATTTTTTCTGAAGTGAATAAATGCTTTTTGCTTAAACTGACTTAACTGAAGCCGTTTTCATAAATCAAACCAAAGCATTGCATTTGTCTGTTGTTTTCAGTGACTCTGGGACATTGCGGGTGTACATGCGTTCAGGGCCATCGGAGGAGGATCTGGTGTTTCACCGTAACAGCAGTGGGCACAGCTGGACCAGGCTCTCCCAATCTGTAGAGAGCATCACACCTTTCCAGGTACTGTAGTGGTTGGAATAGAACAGAATAATAATTTTTTTAAAAGAATAATAAAAAATAACAATAATAATAATAATAATAGTAAAAATGAGTGGCTGTTTTATCAATGACATTCACTGACTCCCTCAACAACTACACACTCAGCTGCTGATCGAAGCAGAAACTCGCAATAGAGGATTTATTGCCATTGATGACATAAGTCTCACACCAGGGCTTTGTCAAGGTACTGGCAGTTTTTTGTTTGTTTTTTTTTTATTCCATAGATAATTACTGAAATATGTTCAATGATAATTAAATTTAAAAAAATAAATGGCACCGTTTTCTTTTCTTGTAGTGAATGAAACAAGTTGGGGATTTGTGGGTTGTTCATTTGAAAATGGCACATGTGACTGGGAGGACATCAGTGTTGGCCAGTTTCAGTGGGTGAGAGGAGGGAATGCTACTGGGAACACTGGACCCTCTGTGGACCACACATTGGGAACTGAACTGGGTAGGACCGCACACTAACCCCTCATACACTGACTTCATATACAGTGGGACAGGATATCTGCATCTGGACTGTTTTACAGATCAAATCAAATCTGTGCAAAAGCAAACATAATCTGTGTACAGTACAAAGGTTAATCTTTTAGTGATTTTACTGATCACAAAAAGATGTTTGCATTTCACATTAAGCTGCAAATTAACCACAAATTAAGGCAGTTATTGTTTAAGATGTATCATGTTTAAGATGCATAATTGTTAGAGGAAGCCCTCCATCACCCCCATGCTCCCACCACCCTGCTCCAACCTCTTTTCACAACTGTCTCCCCAATGTCAACTTGATAGATTTTCTACTGCGTCATTATTTTTGCTGTCCTCCGCTGAGTATATGTTGAGTGAATAAAGGGTTTTTCTCAGGGTTCTTATCTGACTCATCCAGGTTGGTACATGGCAGTGGAGTCTGACCGAGGCGATCAAATAAGCCCTGCTGCCCTGCAGAGTCCCACCATGACACAGGCCAGCGCCACCTGCACACTACACTTCTACTACAACATGAATGGAGAGGGTATGTTTTACATATGCACATGTATGTTTGCAGCCATAGAACAAATCACATGTTCTTGGGACCTTCACATGTGAGTTAGCGCTTGTATTCCTGCACACTATCTTGTATTCTGTACACTGTTTCAAACACAGGAGAGCTGAATGTGCTGCTAAAGGAGGGCCCCAGGTCCACTACGGTGTGGTGGCAGTCAGGCAGCCATGGAGATCTATGGCAACATGGTGAGGTAACTGTTGGTGGAATCCCTCAGGACTTTACCATCCTGTTTGAAGCCTCTAGGACCTTCAACATGCCAGGGCACATTGCCATTGATGACATAGACTTCACAAACTGCACCCTGCCTGGTAGACTACCTGCACTAACTGGACACTTTACTTTACTTACAACCCTTTATTCCAAACTGATTTACATTCATGAAATATTTGTTGGTTTCCTTCTCAGAGCCCCAGCCCTCGTGTCCAGAGAGTATGTTCATGTGCAACAACAGTGTGTGTGTTGAGCATAACCAAGTGTGTGACTTCAGCAATGACTGTGGGGACTGGTCTGATGAGAACAACTGTGGTGAGATATCACAATGGCAGTGAACGGTAGATTATGCACTGTAAATTCATGTAAAGAGCCTGGACACTATTCTTTACACTGTAGGTGCCTCATTTGTGCTGTAAAGATTTATGAATATAAAGCAGCTCAAAAAGCTTGAGATGTGGAAGTTAGACTGACATTACGATCGTTTAATCAGCGATTCTGGTGCATAAACAGAACAGTTTTGTAAATTCAGTTTCCCTAAAAACTTAAAAGTATATTTTTATATTTATATTTTACTATTAGGTAAGATATGTTTATATTTAATTATAAATTCACTTTCACTTAAAATTAAAGACATCATTTGTGTCATTCCTGACTTGTTAGAATTACTTAAATGAAAATATGATAATATTAGATCTTGATATGACTATTCATGTATTATATATTCACAGGTGGAAGTTCTTCAGTACTTGTTTATAATTTGTAATGATTGTTTTTCCTTTTACATGATGATAAAAAATAATGTAGAGCAACAAGGTGTGGTGGAGCGCTGCAGCTTCGAACAAGGCCTGTGTTCCTGGGCAGAGAGCGATGTGGACGCACCTGGAGCTGAGTGGACGCATCGCAAAGGTCTAGAAGCCTGGCCCAACAATGGGCCTCCCAGGGATCACACCCAAAACTCTGCTGCAGGTATTAGACTCTCTGACCCACTTGGCAAAGGGTTGCTCGATTAGGGTTTTGACTCCATTTTATTGACTTATTAATATACAGGTCACTATGTTACACCTGGGACTTACCTGACCGCGGAGGGCAAGACATCAGAGATTGTCTCCAGAACTTTACTACCCAGCTTAAACTGCACTGTGAGTACAACATATGATGATCAAGTGGATGGAAAACCCACTTCAGATGCACAATTTTGTCTGTAAGAGGCTCCTGACAAATCATTTCATTTCACCAAATATTCGGTGTTGCAGAAAACAGAAAAACAGGAGGAAAAAAAACAGTAAAAAGAAAAAAAAGAAAAGAAAATCAAGAATCATTGTAGACATTAGAAAGACACATATGGAATTGATTTTCAAAATAAATCTACATAAACTATAATCAACTATTACCAATAAAGGTAAAAGATGGACAATATTATCATACACAGTATCAGCATAATCCAAAATGAGTCACAACAATTGGTTGACAATTTTTTTCTGGACATTCAAAGAATAAAAAACTGTGTTGCAGACCTATGAAGAAAGCCTCTATGTGCAGGTTTAAGAGAAGCACAAATAAAATTAAAATGTGTCTGGTTTACAGACCTTGCTGCGTATTGAATATTGAATATTCAGCTTGTATTATCTACCTCATGCTTATCTCTGCTCTATAAAGGTGCAGTACATCATTAACCACTCATGTGGGTTGATCACAGTTCACAAGGCTATTTTTTAAAGAACATTCAGCTTCTTTTCTATGTTCAACCCACTGTTACAGTCCTTATTCTTTCTATGTAGGTGAGGTTCTTCTACTTCAGCCTGGATGATGCTGCAGCCAGACTGACAGCCCAGTCCAGGACACTACGGTCAGGTAGTGACGACAGACTGTTATGGCTCAGGGAAAACTCACAGAGCTACAGCTGGCAGAGAGCAGAGGTCACGTTCTCATCATCAGCCAACAGCAAGGTCAGTGAGGACACAGACAGTAGATGACAGAATGAATGCTTTAAGCAACCAGGGCCTCTTTTATGAAAATGTTTTCAGATTGACTGTCATATGAGAAAGCAATCGATAAGCAAGATTTTAAAGTAGGTTCAAGTCATTGGCATTCACACCTTGAAAGTTACAGAAATTAATTTTAGCTTGAACAACTGGACAAAATCAGTAGGTTTAATTGATATTTGCACCCAAATTACAAATTGGGGATTTCATCCTAAGAACAAGTAGAGCAAGAAGTCTGTGGAAGCTGACAGGTACAGTTAAAGTATCTGTACATGAATGCACTATCCTGTTTGTATGTTTCATGGCAGGAAGAGAAATAACAGGTTTTTCTGTATACCTCCTTCTCAGATTGTCTTCAGATATGAGCACGGGGACAGTCACAGAGGGCTGGTTGCTCTGGACGACGCATCTTTCTCCAAAGAGTGTGTATTTGACCCTGACAACAACAAGCTGCCTGACATATCACCCACTTCTACCTCACCTTCGTCCTCCAACGCACCCACTTCTCCAGCCACACCCTCAGCCTCAACTGCACCAATCACCCCCTGTCAGGTAAACAGCAACTGAAACTTCTAAATATTCCATAAAACAAGTGTATTCGCTTGCTGCTGAAAATGCGTCATTGCTAATGTTGCTTGTCTTTGGTGTTGCAGGATAATGAGTTTTTCTGTTGGCGGTCAGCAGGAAAAGTGTGTGTTCTGGCTACCTTACAGTGTGATTATCATGCAGACTGCCCACAGGGGGAGGATGAGGATGGCTGTGGTGAGAGCTGCATTTGTATGAAACGCGCTGTAGAGACCTGCAGTAAACTTACTAAAAAATGCTTTCACCATTTAGTCAGTGGTGCACACTTTCTTTAATAATTTTCATGTTTTGCTCAGGTGTATTCATTATTAGGCTTTGGAGATGGAACGTAGAGCTGGGGAGTAACTCATTCTTTTCAGTGAGGGAGAAAGGGGCAAGTTGAGCATTTGGGTAAAGATTTGGGTAAAAATAGCAGCTAGTAGCTTGGGCAGATGTGAACAAAATGACTCCTGTAATGACTGGCTGTGAAAGAATGAGATTACTTAAATCAGCAGAAAGCACATTGACAAAGGACATGAATCACTGCAAGATGCCATTAGCCACAATGTGAGTCATGAGAAACCGTTAAGAAATTACTTAAGAAATGGCATCACTTAGATTTCACCAAAATGGGGTGGAAGTAAGTTTTGATGTCAGCTGAGAACTGTGCTGGTGTGATTGAAAAACCCAAATTGGCCCCTAAAGGCAAGGAGAAATAAAACAATGACATGTACAATTTGAGTTCAATAAAGAGTTGCAATAAGGTACTTATTCTACAGCTGTATCTGATAAAGAACTGACAGCGAGTAGCTCTACATCTTGTGGATTACTGAATTTGTCTGAAATTTTCTATTAAAAGTTAAGGTATCAAAAAAGATAATGCAAACACTTGAATGACCAACAGCCAACACACAAAGATAGTGTTGGCTGTTGTTGAAATTTGATTCTCGGAAAAGAGAAGAAGTAGAGAATATTTTTCCTGAATGCTAATAAAGCCGTAAAGGACTGAAAAGTCAAAAAGAAGTTCTCATTACCACAAATTGTCGCAAAAGCAAATTATTCAAAAACTTTTTTTTTGAACCTGTGATTCATGAACCAATTTCACCACCCTTCTTGTGCCAGCAGTATTACTCACACTTTTTTTTTTTTTTTTTTTTTTTTTTTTTTTTATTTTAGGTCCGTGCACGTTTGAGAGTGGCCAGTGCCAATGGACTGACACTAGTGAAGGACCGAGCAGGTGGCAGAGACAGAAAGCCAGTAACAACACCGAGCCACCCACTGATCACACTGGCAACGCAGGTGACTTTAGGGGCCCATTGACTGAGAGGGAGAGAATTTTAAGGGATAACATGCTGAAATTACGTAGTTCTCAAATGATCATAGTTATTCTGTCTTTAATCAGCCTTGTTGATTCAGGGTGTTGTTCCTCGTTCTCAGGCTACTACATGAGAGTGAATTTCAGTCAGGGATCCACACAGAGTGAGGCCCGGCTCCAGAGTCCCCAACTCCCCCCTTCATCCCCCTACTGCCAGATTCTGTGAGTGATAACCACGGCACTGTTGGACAAATTTCTGCTACTATCTTCTCTAATGTCTGTAAAATATTTGTTTTGATAGAAAATTGCTCAATCCACCCCACTGCCCCCGTCTTTCTACCACTGAACTGTCTTCCCAATCCAACACTCTCCTCTTCCTCCTTCTTTCCTTCACCCAGGTTTCACTTCCACATCAGTGCAGAGAGTGCTGGGTCACTCAGAGTGCTTATGCAGCAAGCTGAGGGGAGTGAAGCAATCCTGTGGTCACGCAGTCACAACACTGTCTCCCATTGGACCTCAGAGTATCTGCTTCTAGGCCCGCACCAGCAGCCTTATAAGGTGTATGCTCATGTCTCTACTAAACAGTTTAAATCTTTATGAAAGAGACAGATAGATATGTGCTTATTGAAGAAGAAATCCTGTCAATTACTGTCACAATCTGGCTGGTAAGGCCATGACAAACAGGGAGGCCATTTCCAAAAGTTAAACAAAACAATTTATTAAGCAAACAAGCTGCAGCAATTTCATCATAAGTATGGGATGTGAATATAGGTAGTGTAGGGTGTGCCTGAAGGTGAGGATGATGTGAATGTTAGAAAGTGCATAACGTTTTCCAATTGTTTTCACATACTGCGTCTTTGTTCCACCACTACAGTGAAATGCAATGTTTTCTTTGTTTTTATGGATGCTAATCCTGCAGAAGCACTGATGTGATCATTTTGTATTTTCAGGTTTTGTTTAGTAGCTTGGACAAAGTGAGTCAGGGGGGAGAAACCACTGCAGAGCGTGTTTTTGCTGTTGATGACATCTCTTTTCTAAACTGTGAAAAGTCGTACCAGCCACCAGGTAAATAAGGTTTCATCAGCATTACATGTGAGTTTATTTAGAATGAGTAGTAGTGGAATGGGTAGTATGTCATGTATTCATATTTCTACTGTGTTTAAACCTACTGCTACTGGTGATTCAGGTTGGCTAATTTTGAAATCCTCTTTCCCTCCCCAGCTCTGTCTGCCTATGACTGTCCTTTTGAAGATGGTCTGTGTGTTTGGGTGCAGGGGGCAGAAGATGAGTTAGACTGGCTCAGCATGTCAGGTCCCACTGAAACCCCCATCACCGGACCTGCAGGAGACCACACCACCGGCAAAGGTGCTAAAATACCTTAACAAGCAGTGTCCTAAAACATTAGACAGATAACTAAACAGTAATGTTGTGCACCTATGAATTATATCTAGCACCAGGCATTATATTTTCAGGTTGTCCACCTGTCCGTCCCATTTTCATTAACACAATATCTCAGTAACACCTTGAGGGAATTTCTTCAAATTTGGTACAAATGTTCACATGGAATCAAGGATGAACTAATTAATCAATTAACTGTAACTGGACTGGTTAGTGGAGACATACAACCACAAGGCAGTAATTCTAGTTTAGTTGTAACATATTGGATAGTTTCATCTATTGAGGCCTTAAATGCTTTTCAAATGAAACCACACTTTGCTTGAACTCTTCACAGCTCATGGATAAATGCAGGGAGTTATACGTAGACATTTCTTTGTGTTAAAGGGTCAAAAGCCAGATAAACTGCAAATCATTGTTGTACATTGTTAACAGGGACATACCTTTACATCGAGAGTTCCCTACCAAGTGTGAAGGGGAACAAGGCCCAACTGAAGTCTCCACTGCTGCCACCTGCTGGAGAAAAAGGATACTGTCTCACATTTTGGTACCACATGTTTGGTGCTACTGTGGGCTCTTTGAGGATACTTCTACAATCTGCTGATCCCTTAAAGAAAACACTGGTAAAAATGTGCATGAAAATTATAGTTTTCTTAATTTATGATACGTTTAATCAAAGTTGCTGAATGACAAATATAGAGGACAGTGAAAACCACATTACTTCCCTTTACTACAGTGTTAGAAAAACATCTGTGAGCCTGATTGAGAAATATTTGACCGTGTTCCCACTGTGTTTTCTCTGTGCTATTATACTTTTCACATAATTGTGAAATGCTGATTGCAAAATGACATTAATGCATGGTATACTCAGTGCAAGTTGCACAGTTTGCATACCGTGGTATTGCAAAAACCTCCTCACATCCTCATTGTGACGAGTGAATCAGCCTACCGTCTTTCCTGTAGGTTTGGCAAAAATCAAGAAATCAAGGGGATGAGTGGCTGCTGGTGCAGAGCCACGTGACGTTGCAGAAAGTCCACCAAGTGGTTCTGGAGGCTACAGTTGGAGGAGAGGCTGGAGACATAGCCATCGATGACATCTCCCTTGTCAGTGGACCGTGCAAAGCCTCTGGTAATAAGGCTGAAGCCGGAGAAAATGGCATTTTAAACATGGATGTCAGTTTATCTGACTATACTGTAATTTTGTGTCATGCAATTTTTAAGTGATTCAGTGTGTAACCATTGTGCAAGTAAAAGACTGACTAGAATAACTAGAAATAGAGGGAGTCAGGGCACATTTTCAAGAACCACTGTCTCTCACCAGTGAATCATATCCTCTCAACCATATCACCCTCATCTAGCTGCCCTGAATGACTTGAATACAGTGGGGGGAAAAAAAACAAGTTTCTCTTTTTACCCCCCATTTATTTGTTGTTGATGCCATTTGTATGTGATCAGTCATGGGCCATGCAAATGTTTTGATATTTTTATAGGACAGTAAATGGTTAACCAACACTGATCCTATTAAAGTCTGATACAGCTTATGTCACAGATCACCCATTGTTTAAACCTTGGTGACATGTTGCTCCATTACAATTAACACAAAATAAATTGTAGTTTATTTTGAGTCAATCCAAAATATACCTTTGTGCTGCCGTACACCAAAGTGCCCCAAATCCGCAACTGAAAACAGTTCCCAGTAAATGCAAGGATTATGGGTGCATGTTATAATTTCCTGACACTGCGGAAGTCAAAGACAAAGCAGGGCAAAATCAGGCAGAGGAGAAAATAGATATATAAACTCTACACTATATGAACAACATACAGACAAACAGAGATGTAACTACAGTACAGTAACCCAACAGCTTTTAGTGACAGCTTGCAGGGAACAAGACTGAATATTATCTGTCAAAGAAAAAAGTCAAATCAAAGAAATCACTTTAGGTCCTTGCTTGACATCCCACTTATGCTCAGTTCCACACACTGTATATTGGATATATTGAGGGCTTAACATTTAGTTACCATTTTTATTCTTCATGTGTGCATACTTTTTTATAATGCATTCCAAAACACTATCTTGTAGATTTGTGTGACTTTGAGGAGGGGAGTTGTAACTGGCAGCAGCAGACCACTGATGACTTTGACTGGGTCAGACAGTCGGGCTCCACTCACAACCCCAGCACAGGACCAGACAGCGATCACACCACTAACACACCTGCGGGCCATTACTACTACTTGCCCTCCTCTGTTTCTGACATCGCCGGCCAGACAGCTGCAATGTCTTCACCACTGTACCCTGCAGGTCAGAGAGGAACCCGTGTGTTCTGCACTGTTGTCTGAATATTTCCTTTGAGATCTACAAGCTATAATCAACATTATGGAACCATAGATTGGCTCTGATTTGGTTCTAAATTTTCCCACAATTATAACGATGGTACAACTATTATATTGAGAGTTAGCTTGGAGCAGCCACCATTTGTGCAGACGGTGTACTCCTCCAGAAACTGAGTCACAATGAGACAGGGTCAAAAAGCTCAAAAAGTTTAGGTAAATGTCATAAAAGGAAAGACATGATTTAAAATGGTGTGATTTTAGTTTTGAATCTGTTGATTTGATTTACAGCGACAGGCCTGACCCACCACTTCTACTTTTCTCTATAAGAAAACACAAATAACTTAACATCTAAGCAGTCTAAAGTTTGCAGAGATAAAAGGTGAACAGTGACAATGTTGTGCTTCTGTGATATTCAGTGTAATATTTCCCTAATGAAATCACATTTGAAATGGTTTTCATTCCTATGGCCCTGCAGGAAAAGGAGCTTGTGTGCAGCTGTGGTACCACATGTATGGCAAAGGCATGGGGACGCTGAATGTTTACCAGCAGAGCGAGGACGGGAAGGAAACTCTGATTTTCTCTCAGACAGGTGACCAGGGCTTGCTGTGGAGGTTTGGTCAGGCTTCACTTCTGCCTCGGGTTCAGCCTTACAGGGTGAGTCACAAATCCAGAGTCACTCTGGGGAGAAGAGATATACTGTACATAGACACTGATATGAGATGTGATAAGAGACACTGTGATAAGAGATGTATGGACTATGTACATTTACTCAGGTACCTTACTTAAGTACAATTTGAACTACTTGTACTTTACTTGAGTATTTCCATTTTATGCTACTTTGTACGTATACTACACTACATTTGAATAGCTCAGTATTACATTAATAATTTTTTTCTGATGATTATATTTTTACTGAAGGCAAATGGCAAGGCAAATTTATTTGTATAGCACATTATCATACACAGAGGTCATTTAATGCTTTGGGCTTTTGCAGAGATTTAAGGGTTCATTTGGGCGAGCTGACCCTCCCACCACCCATGCTGTTAATCCAAACAAATACAAATCAAATTAGATGTCTGTTACTTCTGTCCTTTCTTCACTGATAGTGCCTTGAATCTAAAACTGTCCATAAAATGAGACGGCGGTGTGATCTAAAACTCCTTTCAAGTATAACATTAATTTTAAACTATGTATTACTATATCCAGTAAGCAGTTCCATCATTGTTCCCAATGTTTCCATCATTACATTGCTTCATGTTTCAGATTGTGGTGGAAGGTGTGAAGGCTGGCCCCACCCAGGAGGGAGACATGGCTTTTGATGATGTGCAGCTGTCAGACGCTCAGTGTCCTCCTCCTGGATTTTGTGACTTTGAGAGGAACATGTGTAGCTGGAGCAACCTGGGTGGAAGAGTCGACCAGGGGGACTGGCTCCGCGGCACAGGAGCCTCTCCAAACCCCAACACCGGACCCAGTGTTGATCACACCACCAACTCAACACATGGTAAGTAATAATATACATAATATAATACAATACCACTTATAGAAAGAATAAAAAGCTCTTCCTGTCCTTTATATTATTGAGTGATCTTGCAATATTTCCACCAGGTCACTATCTGTATGTGGACAGCTTGGTGGGTGAGTGGGGAGACATGTCCTTCCTGATCAGTGATGTGTTCCAGCGGTCCACTAGAGGGCACTGTCTCACATTCTGGTACCACATGTATGGCAGCCATGTTGGGACTCTCAGAGTTTACATAAATGACAGGTAACTAATTGCTGATGTCTGAGGAGTAGCAACATTAAACATGAACAGTGTGTTAATTATCTGCAGAACCTTAATTTAAATTGTTGCTGTCCTCTCCCCCATAGAAAAATGCATGCTGGTGGCAACGAAGAGGGGATTCTGAAGTGGATTGAGTCAGGAAACAGGGGAGACAAGTGGCAGATGGCTAGTTTATCTGTTAAACATAAAGAAGCATTCTGGGTAATTATGGATTGGTTTCACTAGAGCTTTTCTTGTAGTTTTTTTTTTTGTTACAACAGTTTATGCCAGTTTCTCAGAAAAAAACCCCAGTTTTATTTGTCATGAGCAGAGGAGATTTCAAATCCTGGATTTTTCTTTAAATAAAAAAAACTACAGCTGAAATGCAACAGCTTAATTTGGTCAAGACTACCTGTGATGTGTCTGAAAAATGTAATATCTGACTAAGTATAGAAACTTTTATTAAAACATAAACCAGAAAAAGAACTGTTTTTTGTTTGTCTTCTGAATTTTCTGATTTATATCCTGAATTTGAAAAACATATTTTTCTTCTCTTTTTTGGGCACAGTTTGTGTTTTCGTATCAGAAGGGGTTGACGCCAGGTGGGGATGTTGCTCTTGATGATATCACCATCGCCCCTGGCAGCTGCTACTCAGATCCACCCATCGACCCTCCTGATGGTAACAATGGTAATTTAAAATCCTTGTTAGTTATTTCAACTGAGCATCTAATATTTCCACTCAGACACTTTTACTTTACTGTGGGGTATCTAGAAAAATAAAGAATCATGCTCTGCTGCATATGTTGTTCTTGTGGACTGACTGACACTTTATGTGACAAATTAAATCTTCTTCATTCACCTCCCCTGAATGCCTGGATATTTGTGCAAATGACTACTTGCATAAAGTATTTGGGACAGATGTGGTTGTAACTACACACTTTGTTACAAACTTTGCCAATTTTAGCAGCAATTTATAGAAAGATTTGTGTTTGTCTTATTGGATAGAACTGTATTTATTCTATTTTTTCTTACTGTCACAAAATCCCATGAAAAGAAAATTGTGAATGAAAACTGAAATGAAAAATCCCATGAAAATGAATATGTGTGGTGTTATTTACAGCAGCAGGACAAAGTTTTCTGGGATTAACTCACCAGTGTGCAACAGTGTGACTGTTATGTTTTTATAATAATGTGTGGATAACAATGGAAGCCTGTGGCACAGGGATAAGCTATATCAGGCTCTGGCTACCTGGACAGCACTTGTGAGTAGAATAGATGAATTGTTTTGTCATGGGATCTTCTAGCAATAATACAAATATTGAATATTGATCCCCACCTTATCCTTTAGGAAATACTAATATTTTAGCAACCTAGTTAATTCCTTATGCAGATGTTTAACAGTAGTACAGGAGGGAACTGCGGAGTCTAAAGAAGTGCAGGCAAGAAAGCTGTTGATGTAAAATGTCGTGCACTTGTCATGTTTCTCTGTCTCTGTAGATACGTTGTCTGTCGGCCTCGCAGTTGGTCTGACTCTGCTGGCTGGAATCATCATCTCCATCTTCCTCTTCATGCTGAACAGGAAACGTAGTAAAATGTACAAAGTGATTTAAATACAGAAATAATTCACATAATGTACATAATAATACAGAAAAATACTCACTTATGTTGTTGGCTGACATTTCTGTATTTGTGTCTTAGGAACCAGTCAACAGTTATGAGTAATGAAGTGACTGAGCCTACCTCTGTGTTTGACCTCTATGACTGCAAAATAGATGTAAGTAAGCAGGAGTTGATAATTAAGCATCTTGTCCTGATTTAAAAAAACTCAGATGATAAAAGATGTTTTTTCTTCCCAGGACACTCAACTTGGAGCCGGCTTTTCCTATATCAACAAGCTGTATGATCCATCATCACATGGAACTGACGCCACTGTGGTTTCATCTGATGCTTAGTCCAGATTGATAATTGTAATAAAACAGAAAAACCTATTTGTAAATTATGCCTGCTCAGTGGACAACATTTTAATTCCTCTAAAACCTTTATTTGAATATTTGAAAATACTGCCAAGGAGAGTAATACACCCCTTCAGTGAGGATTAGCATCTTGATAATGAAAACTAATTTATTATAAAATGGAATATCTTGCGATGTGACTTGTCTTATATTATTTTACTGTAGAGCCAAAGAACCAGTTTTTTTGTTGGATTGATTTTATTGGTTGATGAGCAGTTGATAAATTGTAAGTAAAATATTCTTTCAAAAGCTTGTAGTGATGTTCTGAGATTTTGCTCTGAGAAAGTTGTGGCAGAGCTGAAATGATAAGTTTCTGATATGTAGCATACAAGTTTATTAATGCATAATGCATAACATTGAAATTTCAGTAGGAGGGATCTCTTAAGGGTCAGTATGAACAGGAGGAATGATTACAGCAAAGAAGTCCTGTTTCAGTGATTCACTATTTGAAAGATAGACTTGAAAAACTGAATCTATCTTTTAAATCTAGTGCCACCTCAACCAACTACCACCCACTGAACCCAACCCACTGAAATGTAGTGCAGTACAAGTATAAAGTGGCATGAAGAGATAATACTCAAGTACAGGTACCTAAAATTTGTACACAAATAAAATATGTGAGCAAAAGTACTGTTCTGTCATGAGATTGGACTAAACCAGAAAACATACAATGAGAATTTTGAACGAAAATGCTTAGACAGTGACTGCAAGTAAAATTAATGTAAGATTTATTTGTGTTGTTTGTGTGCACACTAGATGAATAGAAAAATAAATAAAAAACGTCCCTATTTATGTATTATTATTATTTCTGTTGTTGTTGTTGTTGTTACTATTATCAGACAGATATGGGCTTGCTTGGCTCTGTTTCTGTGCAGTAGTCATCTAGGCTCTGCTCTTAACCAACTGAACAGACATCTTTAACGCTCACATTTAACAGCAAGTCAAAAATTTTGATAAACATTTCGTATTTATGGGTTTGTGAGTAGGAGTGAATGTGGGGTATTTCTATTTTTACTTTTCACTTAAATCAAAAGTTTCGCTTTTAACAGTTTGATAAATGCGGGTCTGTGTTGTTAAACAATAAGTGATATGGGAGACAAAATTCATGAATATGTTATCCGTCTCTGTTGCTCTGCAATTTCGGATGCAGATTTGGGATGTGCAAACCCTCCCTCTCGCTTGTTCTCACATCTTTTTTCCTCCTACTTTCAGACAAGCACCGACATGGAGACTCAACACCCCCACAAGCAGAAAAAATGACATTGCAGTAGCTAGACATTGCTTTAAGCCTGACGAGCCATGTGAGACATGTTACACTGAACGGGCCGACCCCTTTACATTTGACGGAACTCACATTCACACGGGGAGCTACAGGAAGCGTCAGAGAGCGGCGGCTGCACAGAAAGAACAATGGGAGTGGAAGTTGAAACCCTGAAACCTGGAGACGGTGAGGATTTTTTTATTCCAATGAGTCGATATTACAATATTGTGTTTCCTTTTACAAATACATCGTCTTAAACCCACGTTTTCTCCCTTTAGGAAGGACTTTTCCGAAGAAAGGACAGACTGTTTCCGTGCACTACGTTGGTAAGACACTTTCACTTATAATATACAATATTAGCCGCTCAGAAACAAGCTTTTGGTCGATTCAGTATGTAATCTTAGCGGGTAAGTGTTGTTTCACGGTTGGGAAATGTGTTTATTCGCATTATCTTTGAGAGTTAGACGAGGAAATGGGTGCTACCCGTTAGAATGAAGCTAGCGTTACAGCCATGATACGGTTATCTTAGCTTAGCGTCTTTTAGCTTAGCATGCTACAGAGACGGGAAACGGGGGATGAAACGGATAGCCTGGCTTTGTCCAAAAGCTGCTGACCATCATTCCTAAAGCGCCCGAGCTCACACGATGATATTTAATTTCTTTAACACGGATGTATAAAATCAACAATTAGCCTGGGTAGCCCCCTCCCTTCATTTCCACTCATTGTGCTAAGCTAAGTCCAGCTAACGTGATCCTGGCTGTTGCTGCAACATGAATGCACAGCAGCCATGAGAGGCACCGATCTTCGCATCCAGAATTTACGAAATATACCTTTTTAAACATTTTAAATTTGGCCTATTATATGCACTGACTTATGTAGTGAACACTCAGTCGTGTTGTAGTTGTGCTACAACACGACTGAGAACGAAATGCTACAAACACTCAAGATTCAATATTCGTGGAGGGGTTATGTAGTCATGGGGTGTAGGGCTGCAACTAATGGTTTTCATTATTGATGTTCTGCTTAATAATATCGATTATTTGATCAATCGCTCTCTTTATAAAATGTCAGAGTGGAAATGTCCTCTATAATATCCCACAACCCAAAGTTTTACCTTCAAATAGCTCGTTTTACTTGTATAATCTGAAACGTATAATTACTATGTTCACTATGACAAAGACAAGCAGTGGATCTTTACATCTGAGAAGTTGGAACCAGGGAATGTTATACATTTTTCCTTAAAAAGTGACAAGTAATTAAATGGTTAATTGGTAATCACACAGCAGTTACCAATTAATGGTGCAGCTCTAAGAGAGTGCTAACAAGTTTTTTGTTGTTGAACAGGCACCCTGACAAGTGGGAAAAAGTTTGACTCCTCTAGGGACCGGGGAGACCCCTTCAAATTCAAACTTGGAGAGGGTCAAGTAATTCGTGGTTGGGATGAAGGTGTAGCTCAGGTAAGAACAGGAACTACACGTTAAGATCAGTTTACTTGTCATTGGGCATCATACTTTATTTGCAAGACATTTTACCTGGAAACATTAAATGCCTGCACTACCTGCATAACCTGTCATAGACAGATGGATAGATACTTTATGATGAGGCTGCAGCTGCAGCTGTAGCTGCTTCTCCGTCCTGCCAGAATGTTGTGGAGAGGATGGTTGGTATTGTCCAAGAAGGCCTTCATCTTATACTGAATGCTTCTCTCCACAACAGTCCTGAGTGAGTCCAGACTCCTGCCAAGCACAGACCCAGCCTTTTTTACCAGCTTGTCCAGTCTCTTTGTGTTCATGTCAGACATGCTGCTGCCCCAGCAGACTGCAGCATAAAAAAGTACACTGGCCGCCACTGACTGATAAAACATGTGCAGCATTTCACTGCAGACATCAAAGGACCTGAGCATCCTGAGGAAAAAGAGCCAGCTCTGCCCCTTCAAGTGGATGGCATCTGTGTTCAAAGGCCAGTCCAGTTAACTGTCCAAGTGCACACCTAGGTATTTAGTGTGTGAACCACATCAATGTCCTTCCCTCTTTTGGTGACTGGCTAAAGGGTGGGCCTAGACCTCCAAAAGTTGATGAACATGTCCTTGGTCTTGGAGGTGTTCAGAAGGAAGCAGTTCTTGTCCCTCCATCCACTGAAGACCATCGTCAGATCCCTGTACACCTCTTCCTGCCGTGTCCTAATACACGTCACAATAGCTGTGTCATCAGTGTCATATGGATATGTATATTATAAGATAAGTTATGCATACAGCAGTGGACATTCAATACCAGAGGCTTCAACTAAGTAGAGAACAGACATCCACTTTTAATAAATCAGTTTCAGTAGAGACAGAGCAGAAGTCATTTCAGTGGTTCATCTGCTCCTACTGCTTGTGCTTCCTTGACATCAACCTAACAGACTGAACAAAGAAAAAGCTGTGCACTCCTCCGTCGACTCCCTTGGCTTTAGCTCTTGTTGCCAGATATCATAACATCTCATTAACAAACACAAAATGAGTACACAGATAAGTGTGCAGAGTCTGTTTTTCTCTCTCAGACTGCACCGATAAATTCACTACGACATAGCTAGGGAAAGCCAGCCACCAGGAGTTATGAAAGAATTGTGACCTGCTGCAGGTTCGCAAACGGTGACTACTCGCATTGTACTTCACAGGACTGTGGTTACTCATAACAGCTAATATAGCCAGCAATCTTCTACAGTGGCTTCAAAAAGTATTCAGACCACTTCATTTTTTTGCGCTATGGGTTACTGAGTGTAGAATGAAGGGCAAAAATGGCAATTTTATTCATTTAAAGTTAAATCTACATCACTAAGTGTGCAAAAAGAGAAGGGGTCAAGTCATTGTTGGTTATTTCTTGACTGAAACTACGGGATGTAGACGTTTTGCACATTGTCCAAACTTATTGTGATACATAGCCCAGCTCTATTGTGAAATTGGTTATATAATGTCTTTAGTGGCTCCAGAGATTTCCAAAGACTGACAGACTTTCTAACAGTGTCTAAGACCAATTTGTAACAGAAGGTTTGACCTTCAAAGCTGACAAGATGTAAAGAAAGGCATCTATCAGACAGGGAAGGCCAAAAAATGTCACTGCACAATGGGAAATGGGAATCCAGTGTTTTTGGAGCTTGACACATACTAGTGATTTAAAGTCTGGATGTCTCATCCTCTGCTGTAATGATATATAGCTCTCCCCCTTTATGAAACTAAACCACTCCAGTAACCCTTCTAACAGATACCAGTAATACAAATTAGCTGCTCAGTATTAACACCACATTATTTCCTTTATGTAACTTGCTCTTCACCTCCTCCACAGATGAGCCTTGGCCAAGTGGCTAAGTTGACCTGCTCGCCGGACTATGCGTATGGCAGCAAAGGATACCCACCCATCATCCCAGGAAATTCCACTCTCATCTTTGAAGTGGAGCTTCTGAATTGCTGAGTGTTTTAAGATGGTTTTTTTCATTCCACCCACATCTCTGAAACAAATAACTGTTTAATTAAAGGTGCTGTCAGTAGCATTTATGCACATGGATAAATCATTATAGAAAATATTCTGATATCCTGGTATAATTGAGACAAATTACAAACAAACCATACTAATGCCAGTGTTATCATTGGTGCTAAGATGACGCTCTTTAAAGACTTAAAAGGAATAGTACAGCATTATGGGAAAATGTTTTTTTGCTTTCTTGCAGATTGTTGCATTAAAAGATCAACACCACTCAGATAAGCCAACCATTAATACATAATATCTTGTTTGATTAATCTGCCCAAAAACCCACGTGTCAAAACGTGGTTTTAAGGGTGGGGTTATATGCCAGTCTATTTCTTGACTTGGTGCAGTAACAGACGGAGCCAGCTGTTTCCAGTCATTATGCTACAGTAAGCTCAGCTAATCAGCAGCTGTCTGTAGCTTACTAAACAGACATGACTGGTATCAATCTGTCTAACTCTTGGCAAGAAATTGTCCCCAAAATATATAAACATCCAACATGTTAAGTAAGCTTTTAGGATTTATTTGGCCTTCATTCTTATATTTGCCTGTTAAATCTTTGACTTATAATTCAGTTGTTAAATAGCACAAAATATACATAATGGAATAAGAGCAAAAAACAAAGGAACGAAAAGTAATATAATGATTTTTGATGTCAAAAATGCACATGTAAGACCTTTTACTAAAAAGTTTATTTGTATTTTCCAGCATGAATTTATCCTTTCAATAGATGCATTGAGTCGGCAGCTTAAAACTTTGACACAAGAGACACTTTGTATGTTTAGAAACAATAATGGCTCATGATTTAATTCATTTTTCATCTCTACTTGTGTTGCCATTTATAATATAGGGAACTGATTTTGAAACCGGTTCCTTATACTATACTCTTGGGTCTTTTTGTCAAGTTATAGGCCTGAAGTGCTCTTGTACTATGTCATAATTCTGAACATATTTTATTTCTTCATTGTGTCATCTAATAGAAATTGTCTTATCTGTGGGTATTGCATTCTTGCATTAAAAAAAAAAAGTATACGGTATATGTTTCATTCATGATCACATTTCACATTTTGCACATAGCTATACATACTAGGACACATTTATTTTTAGATCCACCCTGTGAACAAATCTCTCGAGACACAAATAACGCTTTGCAATTTTATGTTTATTTATTTTAAGAATAAGCAAACTGTTTTCTTTCCAGGCAGTGCGCCAGATTTGTAAGTCATTGATGAGCTGAAGTGTGTTTTTGGTGTCCCGTTTTGATGCTGGTAGGGGTGGATGGGTTTAAATAGTTGCCTTGGAGGGATTGCCACATCAGGCCTTAGTAATGTTTTCATGAAAATAATGTCAAACTGGATTCTGGTCTGTGCGTGTGTAAGTGGATTACCCTGAATGGGCAGCCGTCTGATGAAATATGACCAGTGGGTGAAAGTAACTAAGTATATTTATCCAACTAGTGTACTTAAGTACAGTTTTGAGGCACTTGTATCTTACTTGAGTATTTCCATTTTATACTGCTTTATATTTGTACTCCACTACAAAGGCAAATATTGTACTGTTTACCACACTACATTTACTACAGACTGACCCAGCTGTTTCCAGTTTTTGTGCTACAGTAAGCTCACCTAATCAGCGGCTGTCTGTAGCTTACTAAACAGACATGAGTGGTATCAATCTGTTTAACTCTTGGCAAGAAATTGTCCCCAAAATATATTAAAATCCAACATGTTAAGTAAGCTTTTAGGATTTATTTGGCCTTCATAATTATATTTGCTTGTTTAATCTTTGATTTATTCTTCAGTTATTAAATATCACAACAACATTAGAGGATTTCAAGCAAGTCGTAACTGTAATTGAGTTGCTGTTGAGCTGTTGAGATATTAGTATTCATGATCCAGCGACATCTAGTGGGAAAAGCTGGAATCACATTAGGGGCCTCTGCTGCCTTCACTTGCTTCTGGAAATCCAGGTGAAACTTTGAGGTAGAGTGACCACGCTGAACTCCAATATTAATATTTATCCGCGGACTTTATGTGTTTCATATATTTGTTTGATAAATTTGAATTATTTTATTGCGTGTGTACAATATACGCATGTTTCAAGGACTCCCTGAAAATGTTTGGATTATTCTGGTAAATTTTATCCGAATTTTGTAAATATGAAACTTTAAAATGTGGTCAAACATGGGCCTGATTGTTACAAGAATGCAAACTTAAACATTACAACTTTGCAAACCATCCTTGACAAAAATGACCAATTTGACTTAAACGTGTGATGAAATGAAACTGGACTTTAGGGCGCAGTCACTCTGTGTCTTCATATTATAGGGATAACTCCATGACAAGAACATCATTTGTAATTCACCAGACAGTATCTGCACATTCTAGTGGAAGAATAGTAATAAATAAGAAAAAACACTTGCACAGAGCTATCATAATAGGTGCTATAATGCAGAAACATAATCAGTTAGTTGGTGTGCCCCTCGTCTCTGCAAAATAATATACTGTAAGACTTTTAATTGAACACACTAGTAATCGGTTTTATGTCTTGTGATTTCGATAATTACGACAGCACGTGAAAGCAGCGTTCCGACGGGTACTGGCTCTCATCACCAGCTGCGTTTCATTCCGGGGAAGACTGAACTGACGCACAGTTGGGTTTGCGGATAATTTAAGAAATTTACGTGGACATTAACATGACGGGAAACTTTACGTTAGGCTACTTAGATGGTTAAGGTTGCGTGGCCTGCGCTTCTTTCCTAATTAGACGTGCGTGTATTCTTGATAACTTGATAACTAGCAGCAGTGAGACGTTGGAGGGTCCCAGTCACAAACCGGCGCAAACAAATTGCGCTTATTCATGAGTTTCTTTGCGCACTGGAGCAGCTGTACGAAGTGACAGGAAGGATGGCGGCGACCGTGACCAAGACAGTTCATCTCATTACAGGACTCGTCATTGTTGTCCAGTTTCAAATAAGCTTCATGAAGCTAAAATCTGCCAGTGGTAAGTCATAAAAAATTATGTTGAATTCACAAATAATATTTTAAGGCTAGCGTTATGAATGGGTGGTCAGTTTGCACACTGTTATAGCCGTATATAAACATATACTGTGTTGTAGAAGAAAAATATAATTTGGGTCTATTGTTTTTAATCACGTTGTGTTTTTTCGAAAATATGATCTGCATTGGTCAAAATCAATACACTAATTAACTTACTAACTCACTTGTAATTTTACTGCGTCATTAATGCTTTTAGTGTAAGGATTCACTGTTAACCTGTGTTTAAGTAATTTTCATGACATGGCTCCATATTTTACCATATTATGTTTACTTGTAATGACAATAATGATTAAATTGTGTTTTTCTTTGCTGAAACCAATATTTTTTGATTGAAGTTGCCATTTGAAAAAAGTATTATGACATTTTCTTCAACAAGGAAACAGAAATATCTATTTTTAGCTGAGCATTTAGACAACAGTGCAATACCAATAATTAACATTTAGTTTCATTTAAATAATTACTAATTCTTTCTTTAACCGTATGTACCAGAAAAAATAAATTAAACATTTTAACCCGCTGTAATTTTGGGAGCAATTTTCAATTTTATGTCTCTCTGGGTTGATTTGTTTCTATACATCCAACCACCAGGTGGCGATTTTTTATTTTGAGGGAGCTGACAGAGAATAATTAAAGGTGTAATCAGGTTCAGGTGTGTTGCTGCTGCTTCGAGTGTGTTTTTTCCGTGGAACATTTGGTTTATTTTAAATGAAAAGGCAACAGAGGACTGCTGCCAGCATAGTTGGTAAGCTGCATTGTACTCTATGATAAATCAAAATCTTACATAGTAGCAGCCCATCAGTAACAGTGGTAGTCCTTACAATTACTGATACAGTTACTATCCTTTCTTACCAATAACGCTAATCTTTCTTCTTGACATCAGCGCCACTAGATTAAGTAGCATACCCACGTCACACCAACACACAGGTGGAGGGTTGTGAGGCCTCTGGAGCCACAGGGCCACCCTGTGATAGAAATATAGACACAACACCCACTGCTGCCCGGCCTCACATGGCTGGTCCTGGACCTGCTGGTGTGAAGAATGTGAAGCATGCTTTCACCCTCTGCTGTGAAGAGAGAAGTTAGGACGCACTGTTGTCACTGTAGGGCCAGAATGACGGAGTGACTGCACATGTTTGCCACATGGCACATGCTCAGGAATTGTTCATGTCCTGTTGCATGTGAGAAGATGCAGGATTTAGTTAACTGAAGTTTGAGATGTTCAAAGACATCTGCACATCTAACACTCCTTAACATACAGGTTTCCCTCTTTATTTCCCCCTAAGTAGCTTCAGGGTTTTTGGAATAATCTTAAGATTCCAAACTAACTGTAATATGTCATGTACCAGTTTTAAGCTCTTCATTGAAGCTATACTCAGTTGCCACTTAAGTAAGTACACCTAACTAAAGCTAATGCAGTAGATAACTTCTTGAACGTTATGACGTTCAGTTGTAATATAAGCTGTTTTAGAGAAGAGTTGATTCAGTTTAATGGTCATTTTAAAGGCTGTAGATCATGGTACTGTTGAATTGCATTATACTAAAAGATGTGTCTAAAATGTATTTGTTCAACCCAATTTATATGAATCAGGACAAACTAAATATTGGAAACACTCTACAGTAAAACACATAACACCACTATAAATTACATCCTCCAAAATGACCATAAATTAAAACGAAACCTCTCTAAAACAGTTTAAACAACAAACAGAAAATTATAACTTTTGTGAAAGTAGTACTTTAGAATTTACTGATACTGTTTATGTCATGGACTTTCGTGAGGAAACTTCTGGAAAATGTAAAATTCTTTTAAGTGGGATTGAGTAATGTTTAGCACAATGAGTTTATACAGACTCACCAGTGGAACACTTAAGATCTCATCAAGTGTGTAAAACACCAGAAAATTACAATTTCCCAGAGCCCATGGTAACGTCGAATATCTTGTTTTGTCTTTTGTTAAAGATATTCAATTTACAGTGTTTTTAAACAGAGAATAGTAGCAAACTTTGGAAAATGAAACAAGAAAATGTTTGCCCATGTTTTTCCATATTTAGAAAATTTGCAGTTGTGAGATATTTTTGATTTGCAGAATGCTGAAATGTAATGTATAGAATATAGTATTTAAATTCTATAGATTTATTTTGGATCTAAGTGTTAATTCAGGAACTTTTGGAAATGGTCACTGAGGACTGAGGCTGTCCTGTTTCTATTTCTACTTTATTTGTGTGATTAAAGCAAATTCTGTAGAATATTTTTATGTTGATTAGTTAATCCATTAATTTATTGTAGGCTGCTGCAAACAGTCAAATTTAAGACCCAACAAAAGTATCATGATCAAACTTTTTACCTTAATTATAAAAATGTGTTGAACCTATTTTTGTACTAAGAGAGCTGTGTAATTCAGTATGATCAGCTCAAATCTCTGGCATTTTAATTTTATTGTTGGTACTGATCTTCTCTTGAATGGTTATTTTTTCTTCTCATTAATGCAGCATCTTATCTCCCTCTCTCTCATCTGATTCCTAAGGAGTCTACCGTACTGACATGCGGGGGCTGCCTTCTCCAGAGGGAAGGCTGCATGTAAACATCGGAAGTCACAAGCCCAGGGAGAGGAGGTGGGTGTCCAAGCCTAGGTCTGGGGCTCCTGGCTGGGCTGCAGATAAGAGGGACCACTACAGAGACCAGCACCAACCAGAGGAGTCAGATCCAGACCTGCTCATGGAGGAGGGCCATGACAATTCTACACAGATTGTGGTAGGTTTATTCTACAGCCAAGAAAATTGGCTGCAGAATAGCATTTTAAATTTACTGTCTATTTTATTGTAAATAGTGATATTAAAGGATTTAAATACCAATACCCATATTTTTCGACAGGACATTGATCACGCCTACTACACATCTAAAATCTACAGTCCTGGAGATGTAGCCAGTAAAGAGCTGTGGGTGAACATCGATGAGATGGAGGAAGATGACTGGAAGGTCCGTGGCTTCCTGTCCAGCACCCACAGACAGGCTGAGGTATGAAATCATCAGTCTGTGTGAATTAATGGCACAATTGGCGCTTTATGCAAATTAAACCTGAATATATTTAGACATGCCTGAATAAGAATTATTCATCAGGGCATTGCAGCTTTTAGGATGGAGTGTATTGTGAATACTCATACACCTCATCATCATATTACAACAAAAAATTAATTAACTCTCACTTAGTTGCAGTAAAGCTGCATTTTGAGTGTTAACAATGTTGGTGTATATTACAAGTGGTTGTTGACCGTCTTTAACATACAGCAGATATTGCACTTTGCTTATGTTTGCTTCCAGAGAGTGAATCTTTCCTTTGATTTTCCTTTCTATGGACATATACTAAAAGAAATCACAGTGGCAACTGGAGGTGAGTCACATGAAGTTTTTTTCTCATAGCTCAGAATTAATAGGCTGAGTATTTCCTCAGAGAAGTTTAAGACGTTATGTACAAGTATATGCTGTGTATAGCTACATGATATGAATTTTGAAAGAATTTTTAGTATATTTTTGTTAACCATTTCCCTTTCATATTACAGCAGCACAGTGCATACTTAAGTTACAGTAGGCCAAGATTTAAATGAGTAAAGCAATTTAAATATATTTTCACATCAGACATCACAGTTTTCCTCTCATGTTTTCTGTATTTTTTATGGTCTAGTATTTTCTATGACCAGTGTGACTGTCTCTTCATCTCCCGCATGAACAAAATATTGAAGTTGAGGATCTGTTTTCAGAAAACAGAAATTAACTTGCACAAATACCCCCGAAAAAGAAGTGAAATTACTGCAAGTGAAGCAGCTGTAGTAGTAGTATTAGTAGTACTGGGAGGTCTGGTAGGTAGGAGGGACGGGCGCTTTGTCTTATAAGTTAACCATGATTAAAATGAATATTGTGAAAGTCTCCATTCCCAGTAAATCATTGTTGGCAACGTCATGTTTGTCTCTTCCAGGTTTCATTTATACTGGAGATATAATCCACCGGATGCTCACAGCCACTCAGTACATCGCCCCTCTGATGGCAGATTTTGATCCTACCCTTTCCAAAAACTCAACTGTGTTTTACATTGATAATGGTAAGAGAGACCGACTTGGTATTACCATAATTTTACTATCAATAGTGATTTTTCTTTTGTGTGTCTTCTGTGCAATTTGTTTACTAAATATATGTTTGTGGTTGTGCATGTGTGTTCATGTCTGCCCTTTAGGAACCGCATTGGTGGTTCAGTGGGACCAGATTCACCTCCAGGACGTCAGTCTGGGAACGTTCACATTCCAGGCCGTTCTGCACAGCGATGGACGGATTGTCTTTGCATACAAAGAGGTGATTTTTCTTCTTCTTCATGGTCCTGTTTTAATGCAAAAGTAATTTAATCAGCTCTTTATCTTTCATAGATTCCTATTGACATCAGCGAAATCAGCACTGAGAATCATCCTGTCAAAGTGGGTTTATCGGATGCTTTTGTAGTGCTTCATGAGATAGAACAGATCCCCAGTAAGTGGCAGATTTGTTCTATAAAAATGTACAATATATTTTGAGCAGCTAAATTAACAAAATTTCAGATATCAGAAATAATTGACGTCACGTATTTTCTGACATGTTCCAGATGTTCGGAGGAGAACCATCTATGAGTATCACAAAGTCGACATCCTCAAGTCCAAAATCTCCAACTCTACGACGGTTGAGATGCTACCTCTCCCCAGTAAGTTGATCCAAAGATAGCAGAACACATAAATTGTGAAAACTTCCTCCGCTCATAAATACTCATGCAAGCTCCATTTACTTCATTCATTGCTATACCTTTTTTAAAAATCTGTTTTGCTTTTTAAACAGAGTCAAATTGTGAGAAAAAATTAATAACAGTACAACTAGCAAGTATTCAGAAACTGATAATAGTAGCTGATGGGAGTTAGCTCTACCCTACAAGACATTTACAAAATGCATTCAGGTTTTTTTTTTCAGAAGCCAAAGCCGTCTCTTCCTCCTGACTCTTAACTTTTCCTTATTCTCAGCATGTCTCCAGTTTTCCAGCTGTGGTCCATGTGTCACTTCTCAGATTGGCTTTAACTGCAGCTGGTGCAGTCGGCTACAAAGGTAAACTGGAAAAACGTGCAGAGAGTGCATACCACTGAGAAGGCTGCACATTCCTCAAAATGTAATTTATTAATAGGTAAATGTTTAGAATTTTATTTTTAATCCATTAAAATAGACACAGAAATGGACAATCATGGCTGATGGCAGCTACAATATGAAGATTACTTGTTTAATTGGCCTTTGTACAAGAATTTATTTCACAATATTCAAAGAAAGATGCGCTCATGAACATTGAGTTCATGAGTCATGACAATTTAAATTTCCTGTAGTGCCTCTTATAGGTGACAGCTTTTAGAGAGTTCTTGTTTTTGATATCTGCTGAAATCATTAATATTTGGTTGCAATTTAACAGTAGTCAATAATTATATAATTTTAACAAAAAATAGACGAAACAATGTCGAAAGCATTTGGCAACATGATAAAACTGAAATGTAAAATAAAATGACTTTTGGGGGCCAGTTAAACAAATCTTGTACTGTATAAAATGACTGAAATGTTTTGTAAGATATCACCTTATCTCAGATGAGCATTTGGGACAAATATGCAAAACTAGCAGGCATCACCTGCAGTAACATTGGAGTATAAATAGTAATTACAGTTTAAGTGATTGTTGTCCACACCTTTATTCAAATCATTTTAATTTTATTTAAACACTGCCTGATAAATAAAATGTCATCAAGCTTCAAAACTCTTCTGAGGCATGATTCGGCCCATTCCTCAAATACTTCATACTTGGATCAAGCACCTTGTCAATACAGTATCTTGTATGTTTGTTAATAAAACAAAGTTGTGATTAAAGCTCTCCATACTCTCTATACAATAATAATATTTACTTCCTTTCTCAGATGCTCCAGTGGCTTTGATCGTAACCGGCAGGACTGGGTTGACCTCGGCTGCCCAGAGGAGGTTCTTACATTTGCATCTGCAACTCCTGAAAGTTCAACTAAGATAGAACTTCAGCACATTTCTGGCTTTCTGCACAAAAGAACATTATATTGTTTTTCCAGAGACGGGATCCCCGGTGTCTCCGGATAACAGACGTCACAAACTCCACATCTCGCCAGCTGAGTCATACGACCACTCCTGTTACAGCAACCACAGTGCAGCAGAGGACTTCCAGCATGACCTCCACCCCCCTCAGCAGGACGTCCATCGTCACCAACCCCTCACCACACAGCAGCACAAGCAGGAGAATAATGTCCACATCACAGCCTCCTACCAGCAAACCTGCAGAAGGTAAGCTGACAAATACTTTTCAAGTCATCTGTAGTGAACAGATTACAGCTCAGAGCAGGACAGGCGTCATTACCATCTCATGAATTAATGTTTGTTGTTGTGCACCGTATCCACGCCCTGTGCGTTCTGTAAGGCCTGAAAGTGTGAGGGTCAAGTGGTCAGCTATTTCCCAGGCCTCTGTTAGCTCACAGCTAAGCGTATACAGCGCCATGTTAAATACTGCATAGTGTCCTCAGCTACTGAAGAATGACTCAATATATGTGTATCAGTCTGTGGCCTGGTTGGGTCAGAGTATGGGAGGGCTGTTATTTTTGGCTGTAGTAGCTATTGTTTGTAACATGAAAGGACTACAAAGTCCTACTCAAACAAAAGTACAGCAGATATTTTACTTAACTAGAAAGAAAAGTACTTGATTTTTATTGAACTGAAAATAAAATGATTTTTTCCCCCAAAGATCTTATAAAATGACTGGAGGACATGGTTGCAAGGACATTATTTAAAGTGTAAACTTAGTCTAAGTGTTCAAGTGGCACACTTTTGGATGCTCTTTGTGCAAAGGCAACAAGATGTGCCACTTACGTGAGAATGTACCTTAAGTCAAGTACGCTATAGTACTTCCAGTACAAATGCACAAAAGTTAACTCAAAAAACTACCGCAATAAGTACCCAAAAAGCTACTGTTATTATTAGTAAAATGTAACTAGTGACTCAGTCTGAGCGTAATTGTAAGGCATATTTTTATCCCTAGATGTTTTTAGATTCCTTACTGGATAAACAAATTTTTAAAAAATGGATGCAGTGCTAAACTATCACTGAATGTCATGTCATTTTGTTCTTGTTTTTCTAGATGACACAAAGATCTCTTTGCACATCAACGAAGGGTGTAAGTCATTCATTGTTATCTGCTTTACTGTATATCCGTATAGACAACTGATCTGTGGTAGCCTTCAGAGCTCAAAGCACTGCAACTGAAAAAGACATCTTTTTTTAACAGTTCAATTACAAATGTGTACTTAGGAAACAATGCTGCAAAAATAATACAACATGGGCAAACTGAAAAACATAGAACAAATTTAACAGCAGTCTCATTCTCAGTTCCATAATGAAACAACATTTAATTATTTGTGGCAGCAACAGTCCGTATCACACAAGTTATGGACTAACTCCATGAGCCACAACCATGGCAACAATTTGTATTCCCACGTGTGGTCATCAACTTGGTTTTGTCATTTCTGTGCATCTTGCAGCATTTCTATTCTTCATTATTTTCCTCAGTTTCAGTGCATTGAGCTGTAAAAATGTGTCACTCAGGTTATTGGTACAAGAAACGTCTCAGTACAACTGTCAGTTTTATATTTGAATCTGCCAATGACTGAAACTTGAGACTGACTCACTGACTGTCGCCCTCACCTCTGTACAGCAGGAGACAAGGAGAGCACAGGAGAGAGTGATGACCGACTGCAGATTGGCCTCCTGGCAGGCATCATCATGATGATGGTCGTCATGGCAGCAGCTGTGCTCCTGTCCCTTTATGTGTACAACCACCCCACCTCCAGTGCCAGTCTCTTCTTCATGGAGGTCAGTAATCCACAGCTGCTGTCTACCTCAGTAGTAACCATTTGGAACAACTGAAGTCCTAAAGTTATCAATGTTTTTCATTTGGATAAGTAATCCTTATTGTCTTTTTCCACCAACACAGCAGTGGTGTATGGAACTACATTATATTAAAATGTTAAATTTTTTATACTTCCCATTTACATACATGACAGGCAGAATGTTAAAAGAAAATCTCAATACACTGTAGTTCTGTACAACACCACTATGACCTCAGTGCTAAAACATATTTACATTACACCTATGACAGCGTCATCAAAAACTGAACATTATGGACATTAGCTTGTACAGGTGTACCTAATAAAGTGGCCACTGGGTGTATGTATGACATTTTATGAGCATCTGTGGGTGAGTAGTAATGAGTGCAGGAAAATGGATAAAAACCTATTTTTACCAATACATATCAGAAATCAATTATTTCTATCGATTTGAGAATAACTTGTTTTCACAATACTATATCCAAATTTTCCTTTAGCAATCCCACTTGTGTTTTAATTTTCTGTTCTTCCTCCCCACAGCGGCGGCCGACCCACTGGCCAATAATGAAGTTCAGGCGTGGATCCGGTCGCCCCTCATATGCTGAGGTGGAGGCTCCAGGTCAGGACAAAGACAGCACAGTGGTCATTGACCCCAAACAGTCTTTTGTCATGTCAGACAGAAGAGAGAGCGAACAGAAAGAAGGATTCATAGTTCCTGATCAAAGAGAGCGCTTCCTGTTTTCAGAGAGCTCCTGACCAAAACTACATATCCCAGAAGGCTTTGGGGACAGAGCTGGTTCTCTATGTGAGTTAGCGTTCCTTCTTTGAATGCTGATACATTTTTCAATTTAGCTGTTGTTCAAATTCACTTTAAGGACAGAATTTGAGCATTCAAAGAGGAAAACAGCCAAGGAAACTAACTACATATTTTATGCAACAGTTTGGCTTCATGTTCACATTTGCCCGGCGAGCCATGGAACTGTTTTAACTCAAAGGAAAACGTACTTGGATAAAAAGTTGTTTTTACTTTGCTCAGGTTATTCACTCGTTTACTGCGGAATGTTTGTTTTGAGATCATTTCTCTCAAAGATGGACGATATTTTTCCTTCCCACACCTACTTCACAAGGAGGAATGTCATATTTGGGTGTCATTTCCTCATCTCAAAAATACAGTATAAATTCCTCACCATTACACCCACATTGATCTGAGGGGCAAACAGGGTGCACAGTGTTTTCACTGCTGTTTATCTGAGAGCACAACATCTATTTGCAACTTAAAAACAACATTTATTGATTGCTTTGCTGTACAAATATGTACACTACAACACCCACAATAAATGATAAATACAGGTTTATATTATACCTATAGTATTAATTTCAGACATGATAGTCTTGCAACTTTTCTAACATGCTATAATTGTTCCCATGTATGTGTAATCTGTATATTTATGATATACAGTAAGAACAGTGTAAATTGCAGGTTTTATCCAGTAGCTGCACACTATTTGTATAGCTTTATTCATCAGTTAGTTAAATGTACAACTAAAATTAAGTCTAGAAATTTTTTTTACACATACTGTGTAATATAATCATTTCACCAGTTATCTAAAAGTCTTAAAACTGAAATGTGATTTTCTTCTTCTGACATTTAGTTAGCTGAGAGTTCACCTCCTCTGTCTCTTCACATGGTTGATTAGTGCTGATAAAATTTCAAAACTGTTTGGTCCCCAATCTGAAAATAAAGTTGTTTCATTTACTGTACATATCTGACATGATACTAGAATTGATGATTTCCTGCACTATCGGTGACATATTGCACATCTAAACAATATCTACATAGACTACTAGTGTTCTGTATTATTTGAGGCATGGTTAGTGTAGGGTTAAATTAAGGCATAATGGTGTCTGAATGGATTGTTTAAGACTGGCCTGTAGGCTGCAGAGTCACAGGGTCAAGGCACTTCTGTATTGAAGGTACTGCAACGGTCCAGGATCAGTGATTCAGGTTTCTTTGTCTTCTGAGATAGAATCAAACAAAATGGGGAAAAATATCCATTAATGTTTGCAAAATACTAAACTGACTTCAAAATGTATTTTTGTGATTATGAAAAATAAATAAATCAGTATTGTCCTCATTATTTACTCAAATAACGTGACTTACCTTTCACTGGCGGTGCAGGTAAGCGCCTCCTCAGTTGTCTTGATGAGTCCAGGGTGACTGGCTGTGAAAAACATTTAATTTTTTTTTTTGTGTACAAGGTGTTTGACATAAAGCTCTGTTAGTCACACTGAAGTGTAATAATAATGTATACAGGTACTGTACCATAACTGGAATGGTCCTGGTCTTAGTGACGTGTGACTGTGTGTCCACATTGAGGCCTGCACTCTTCAATGCAGCAATTCTTGCAGAGATGTCACAAATCTACAGCAGCAGCAACACAAACAAGTAATACAGTGTAAATTTTGACCATTGATTCATTCATTAAAACTTAGATAATAAACCCCAATTTTTTTTGGTGACCTCCTGACCTATCCTCTAGCACCCCCCTTCAGTCATAAATGCCACTGATAAATTGGCATTTCATTTACCAAGCACATTTACACACTTCAGAGTAGAAACCCTTTTTAACATGGAACATTCCTCTTGAACCATCTGAAAAAAAGCACCATCACACAGCTCTCACCTGGGTAAGTATTCAAGTGTAACAAGCAGTAGAAAAAATTTAGGATCTCCTAATATTCCACCTACATCTCTAACCATTGGTGCATGTTCAGCTTCAACCCACCTGTAGTTCAGACTGCTGGACCTTGGCAGCTGCTGATGCCACCTGCTCCTCCAGGAAGGACAGCTCCATATCGGATGTGGAGCTGCAGATTCCCCTGGCACACTCCTCGAGGTCACTCAGCTCCGCCTCCAGACTGTACACCGAGCCAGCCGCCACGTACACCTGCAGCATGTCCAGTACAACACAGGGTTCACTTCAAAATCAGGTATTTTATATTTGCAAACAAGACTAATTGTGATTATCAAACCTGTTTTTACGACTTGTTGCACTGTCGTTGCTTGCAACCTAATAACTACTGAAACGCAGGGGAACTTTACTCTTTTGTTTTACTCTTCAAATATTCATTATTCATTATATATTTTGCAAGCAGACCCCCAACGTGGAAATATGAACCTGGAAATGTGTATAATATGATCCTTTGAACACTTACTTGCATTTTAAAATGAGTTAATGTGACGTGTGAACCGATTAAGCGTTTTTTCGTACTGTATAGCAAGTACCTAATATACAGTACATTATTAACTCAGTCATGTTTATGGTAATCTTGACAGTATGATTAGCGTAAGACAAAGAAAACATTAAATTTAGTCATATTTTTACACAGCTGTTTGTTACCTAGAGCTTCTATGTTTGGCTACATACAGATATGTAAGGGTACCTTTAATTGCATTTATCCTGTCAATCCTGTCTTTGGTCCTTGATTAAAACTAATGCACATGTTGTAATCTTAAAATATTTGACTGGACTGTTGTCCACAACAGCACATTGAAAAAAACAAGTGCATCAGCTAAAAGTAAGTCAGTCATTTGATAATATTTGAGCAAAAGGTAAAGTATGCAGTAAATAAAATGTAAACTGAAATGAAGCTAAACCTACGTTCTCCTCCAGCCTGGAGAACTGTTGGTCCAGTTTCTTGAGGTCGGTGTTGGGGGGCAGTGAGGTGGAAGAGAGCCGGGTGTTGTCTCCTCCTTCCACTCCCTGCAGCAGCTCCTCGGTGGCATTCAGCACCTTCAGCACCTCTGTGGTGATGCTGCGCAGAGACACTGCCGAATACCTCTACAACACACACACACACACACATACAAAGAGGTATTTTCTTAAAACTGACTGATACCTTTGTAAAACCTGATATTTTGCAGTGTGATATAGAAGAACATTTAATTTTTCACGTTTTAAGGTTGAAAAAAAAAAATCTAGGATTAAACTGTCCTCTCAGTTTCTCTGCCTGATGAAAAAACTTTCTATTTCATCTCCTACTCGCCTGCGTACAGGATGTGTATCAGACAATTCTAAATAAGCACCAATTTTTAGCAGCATGGAAAGTCCTGCAGCTACTGATCATAACACTTCAGTTAAACTCAGATGGATGAAGTTTTGTTACGTGGATTACAAGCAGTTTACAGGATGAGCCACACTGACTCAATAAAAGGGAAGACTCTAGAATATACACCCACTTTAAATGAAGTCAAAACAAAAACATTACTGAAAAAACTAACAAGAAATGATTTTCAGAGTTTGGAAGAGGAGGAGCCTCTATCATATCTGAAGTGGACAACATAATTGGCTGATGCACGATACATTAATAGAAGGCCAACATCTGTGTGACATAAATACATGAACAACAGCAGGATATTGAGAATAAAAACTTAGAAAAGATGCAAAAGAAGTTCAGCTGCGTCTTGATTGGCAATAACCATTAATCTGCATTATCCACTCTGTTGCCGCCGCCCCCCACCCCCCCACAGCAAAACAAGTTCATTCTCACCTGCTCCAGAAGAGAAGATATAAACTGTACTGTTTTGTAAAGCTCGATTTCACTACCCTACAGCGCACAGAGGAAAGAGAAGAAGCAGGGCAGACAGAGTAGTAATAGTTAGATGAGTAGTTAGTTAGTCAGTTGCAGCGCAGTGAATATTTTTGCTGGCAGTGTTTTTAGCAACTACTACAGGCGTGACGGTGTTGCTGTTAAATAGACTGATTGGCATCTAAGTTACTCAAGGAAAGTATCAATAAGAAAATGAGCTGTAGTGCTTACATTTTGAATCTCCTCTGGTGACAGTAAACTCTCCTGTGGAGATGTGCTGCTCTGCTCTGTGTCGTTTGCACTTTTTTCTTTGGTTTCCTCAGATTTTTCATCCGTTTCTTTATTGTTGCACCCTCCCTCTGCAGCAACTTGTTCCTCATCATCCACTTCTATTCTCTTACATTTCTGTTGGGCCTCATTTGTCTCAAATGCTAAATTTCTTCTTTCTCGTGGATCCATGTCTGTATCTTCTTGCTCATTTTCGTTTCCGCTCGTCACCTCTCCACTCCTTTCTTTCCTGGAAGTGTTTCCTCCAATTTGCTCAGTTGCATTTTCTTTTGGTCTTTCTCTTGCAGCCAACTCTGACGTCACATTGTCACCTTGACTTTGAGGCTCTTTCGCACTTCCTCTCTCCTCTGATGCATCTGCAGTCTGTTCATCAACAACCTTTTCTTTGAAAACACTTTCTCTCCCTATTTTAACACTCCCTTCTGTCTCCGTTTCCTCTAGCTCTCTATTTATTCTCCCATTTCCTTCAGCTTTATTCTTTAATGTTTCTACCTGCATGTCCTCCAAAGTCATCATCAACATGCTGCTGATTATTCTGTCAAATTCTGGGTCTTCCTCTTCACTGTCTGCTGTTGCTTCCCACTTCCCCTGACCCTCTTTGTTAAACTTGTCTTCTCCTTCGTTTTCGTCTGGCCACTTTGCCTCTGGCTGATATCCTTGTTCCTCTCTTGTCTCATTGGAGTCGATTATCTCCTCCGTTTTCTCTGCTTCCATCGCTGATTTCAACTTCATCTCTTGTCCTTTCTGTTTTTCTTTAGCTTTTTCAGCCTCACATTCACATACATGCTCCTCTACTATTAATATTTCATCCTCAATCTCTTCTGTTACTGTCTCTTCTAAGAAATCTCTCTCTTCGGGTTCTTCTCCCTCTGTTTTGCCTAGTTGGACGTCATCTGTCTTAATCTCACCTACCAAAACATTCTCAGCTGTTGCTTTTGCATCACTACTCTCAGTCTTTGTTTCCTCAGTTTCATCTCTCAAATCAAACATTTTCACATCCAACTCTCCAAATGATTCTCTCCTCTCCACGGCTCCTCCCCACACGTCTTCCCTCTCAACGCTGCTCTCAGTTCCTCTTTCAGTTACCTCTTGCTCTCCATCTCCCTCATTCTTTCCGATTCTATCCAGCTCATCCTCAGTGGAAGAAAACTGAGAGGCGCTGACTAGACTGGCCAAATCGCGCAGCTGAGCAGCCTGAACTGCTTTTTCTTCCTGTAACTTCCACAGCGTTTCCTCGTCTATTGCTTCCTCCCCTTCTTTGCCTCTGCCTGCTCTGTCCAACTCATCCTCTGTGGATGAAAACTGGGTGTCACTGACTTGTTTAGCTAATCGGCACACTTTCACAGCCAGCTCCTCATTCCTCCCATCCTCCTCTTCTGTCTTCTTCTCTTCGATGCCAACTCTGTCCAGCTCGTCCTCGGTGGATGAGAACTGTGTAGCTCTGACTTCTTTTTCCAGTTGACAGAGTTTATATGTGAGTCCTTCTGTCATTTCCTCCTCCTGCTCTTTGTCTTCCTCCATATTTTCATCCCATTCTCCTTCACTCTGGCCTGCTTTGTTTAACTCATCATCAGTGGAGGAAAAGTATGTGAGTCTGGACTGTGCGACGAGCCTGTATAATCTGTGTTTCATCTCTTCATCATCTACTTCTAAATCTCTTTCTTCGTCCTCTTTCTCATCCTCCATTCTTACTTCATCCAAGTCGATCTCCATCTTCCACGACCTTTCACCATCTTCATCTTTGTCCTCACTTCCTTGTCTCCTTTCTTCCCCCGGTCCATCATCACCACAATCTAAGTCTTTGTCAAGTACTTCTTCTTGAGTGGAGGATTCACAAACTCGGACTGCTAGCTGTTGTAGTTTTGACGTGAGCATCTCGTCCATCTGACTGGCTCCATGTCCGGCCATGTCACTCTCGAGGTCAAAAGGTTCAGGGGTTGTGGCACCAGAGGTCAAAGTGTCAGGCGTCACGGCATCAGAAATAGGTTGGGATTGGTTGTCTTCTTTGTTTAAATCCTGTGAATACAAGAAGTCAGTTAAAAACATATTTTTGTGGTGAATTAAGCACAATTTCCCCTAATACATTTACCAGTTTATTATTAGGTACACCTAGCGTAATTTAGTACCTGATTATTTTATTATTATATTTTATAAGCCAAAACTAGCACCCCAAAATAATTAATTTATAATCATATAAAGGAGAAAAGAAAAGATCTAAACAACTCTAAGGATCATTCTTTTACTAAAATTATTCTGCCGGGTGAGTTACTGATTAATCAGTTAATTGATTAACAAGCTTGTTCTTGTTCCAGTTCTGCATTCCAGTTAACAGCTTTACTAATGTTACTTTGTACATGGAAAAAACTCATCCAGGCTTTACATTCATTAACCTTAAAAAGGAAATTTAACATGTTATAGTACCAGTACCACAAGTTCACATTAATGTAAAGCCTACTTGCATATACATCATTATTTTGATTCAATTCTTTTCTGCTGTTAGTATTTGTCACATTAACAGATGGTCATGATGATGATTTTTTTCTTACCGACACAGAAGAAGAAGCTACTTGCTCTTTTTTACTCTTCCTTTTCTTCCGTGATCTCCTGACTTTTCCCACCTCCGGCGCAGCAGCCACACTGCTCTCCTCCTCCTCTCCTGCTCCTTCTACATTAAAGTTCACATCAATGATACTTGTCCTTCCGGATGATGAAGGTCGCCTGATCTCTGCAGGCATATTCCTCTTAAAAAAAGCAAGCAGAGGTTTATTAGGCTTCCAGTTCCCCTCAGAGTCCGAAAACACATCATCTCTGCTGCCTCGGCGGTCCATTAGAGGCAGCCGGGTCCTGTCCCGAGTGTCCTGCAGGTTGAAGTTAGAGTCTGTCATCTTTCTGTGGATCTCCTGGAGGACAGCACCCCAGGAGCTGTCAGGCTCAGACTTGGTTTCGTTATCAGAGCCCATGCCTTCGTAGGCGGACACCACTCCGGACTCCCTCTCCAAGGCACTAAAGACCTGGCTTTTCCTTCTGGTCAGCAGGCTGGGGCGAGACAGCTGGGCGCTCTGCAGGGCAATCCAGTTCCCGTCTGGGCTCTTCAGCACTGAGGACACACCTCCGCATGCGAGCATGCACACACACACAGACATCATGCAGACAAGCAGAGACCATGTGCCAAACAAACACAACAAAAAAGTACAAGCACACACGCAGCAACATAAACAAACAAAAACACAGAAGAGGCAAGTATTAGCTGACAGACTTTTAACCAGAACCAAGAGACGTGGCTTTAAGCCGCCTTACACTGGCTCCTCGTATGTTTTAGTATTGATTTTAACTGTCAACAGAATATTATTGTTTAGTCATGACTAATATGATATAACAGCCAATTTCCCCCCTTTGGAAAAATCATTTTATTCCACACTGTGGCATTTTCACATATTGTATATATTCTTTATCAGTTGTTCCAGCTCTTTACTGAATCTATATGATGTTAACATTGAGTGAAACATTCAAGCCCAAGAATGTGGAATAATCATTGTTATTTGGAGAGCACTTTTCAAATCAAAAGTTAATTTAAAAAAAAAAGTTAATGTAAAATAAATAAACTAAAAGACAATTAAAGGAGAATCTCTCTTTCCAAAGCCTGACGGCCCTGACCACAAACCTCCATCACCTTTAGTTTCAAGCTGAGACTTTGGAACAGAGAACAGACCTTTGCCACATGAAAAATACTCAATTTTAAACACTTTCCTCAAAAATTTTGCCTGACCATTTTAGTGTATTTGAAAATTTGGGGACATCAGCTAGAATTTGAAATAAAGTTCTGTGCGTTTTAACAGTGTTTGGCTGCACAGCATGAGTTTACGGTGAGTGATCCAATGGTGGGCTTCAGAGGTTAAAGCAATAAGCAACAAGATCTTACCAGCATTGTCCAGCCGGTCTACACTCTTCCAAGCAGAAATAGTCGATCCACCACCCTCCTTCTTTAACGCCTGCAGTGAGTCTTGTATCAGACCTGGAGGGTCATTGTCCAACAGTGAAGAGGCAGAGTGTGACCTCTGAGTAGAGAGGGAAGACAAATTGCAAGTGTTAAAAGTTGAACACAAGAATGACACTTGTCTAGTGTATCTGCAGTCATTCTGTGGGAACACTGGATGTCAGGAATAAAATAGAAATGAAATCTAAAAGCGTTGTGGTTGTATACCTCCACCAACCAGCCAGATTGAAGGGTAGATTATGACCATATTCCCTGCACAAATGTTAAATTGAGTCACAATTACCATATGACTTTATGAGTTACAGCCAAAATGTATTTTCAAGGTCACAGTGACCTTGGCCTTGGTGCACCAAATTTGAGGAGACATAAGAGCACAGCGTGTTTAACTGTTTGACCAGCAGAGGTCAGCATGTGTCACCGTGCAGATGAGAGGATTTGTAATGAAGCAACACACATGCAGGAAAACACAGACAGCTCCAACCTAAAGTGGTTGTGACTGTGACATGTTCTTTTCTTTACCCAGAGGCCTGGTTGGTGTTTGAGGGAGCTCGAGGCTTGATTACAGGTGGGCTGATGATGGCGGGGGTCAGCGTTTTGTTCGAGAGGCCAGTCCTGGTCGCACTCTGTCCTCATCTCAGCCAAAGTCTTTCTCCTACTGATGATCTTACATACACAGACACATGATTAGTAATGCATATAGCTCTGATCCCACATCAAAACATAAAGAATCTGCTGGTTCTCCTTATTCAGTGTAAATTCATGGATTTGTTAATTATTTGAACACCCTGTAGCAAAACAGCCGTGGAAACCCCATTTGATTACTTACATTTGAGTGTTAGGCAATGGCTTTTCACACACAGTAAATCAAACTAATTACACACTATAAAACATCTGTTACTATACAAAGTGAGAATGGCATCCATCACTGAAATCTATTATTTTTTCTTACTTTTTGCACAATAGTTTTGGCCAGTTCCTCAATGAGCTCTCCTCTGTGCTCCCGCAGATAGTGTGCCTCATTCTGCTTCTCCTGGTAAACAAAGAGACCTATTCAGAACCACACACACTATAAGCTGATTACTTCTCTAAATAAACATATTTGCTGTACTCAGATATATACTTCAACAGATTAGTGACAAGTACATTTTTTCTAACATATACTACAAGTGTCTGCAGAATCAGAAATGTACTATGGGATTTTACAGATAGCATTTCTGATGTGATAAAAAAATTTTTAAATAATTTATTAATTAATTTGTAGACACCCATGATGCTTCTTTAGCCACCTCTGAAAATGTGGGATATGAATCAAGGAGCTGAGATTAATTGCAATTGATATAAAAATGGCCAATTAGGTACTGTGTTGTTAGTGTTGATTTAAGATATGGTGTCAAACAATGAATGGATTATGAGACAATGGGCCCCAAAGAGATACAAAACTTCGTAGTTTTTTTGTGTCTCTTGTTGTTTTATGTCTGTTTGTAGTTGCTATGTCTTTGTGGTCCATTTGTGTCAATTTGTAATCATTATGAGTCACTTGGTTGTTGCTAAGTGTCTCTTTGTAGTCATATTTTGTCTCCGTGTAGCTGTTTTGTGTCTTCATGTAGCTGTTTCGCCACTTGGTGGGCAGAGTGCTTCTCTGTGCAGTTATTTTGGGTCTCTTTGGAGTCATTTTGTGACTGTGGCCATTTTGTGTCCCTTTGTGCTGGTTTATCGTCATTTTGCTGCTCCTTGTAGTTATTGTGCATCTCTGCAGTCGCTTTCCATGTCTTTGTAGTTGTTGTGCATTTTTTTGTGAGCAATTTGTGTCTGTCTTTAAACAAAAAGTTTGTGCACATGCGACACAGAACCACATGTTCTGAAAAATAACTACTTCATGTTCAGTATAATAGACCTATTATTGTTGTCATTTTGCATTTATGTTGGCCTAACAATGGAACCTTCATTGTCTTATATTGTCGTATTAAACTGTCATTTGGGCAGCAGGATAATTATCATTATTATTTTTTCCATAATCTGACTCAAAGAGAAAAATATGAGATGTCAGATTAAGGAGAAATTTGAAAAGAAAATTGTGGAGGATTTATTACAGAACACTAATAAAAATATAACATACTGCAGCATCTACAATACAATCTGAAAAATAACTATAAGTAGCTTGTTTTTGTAACACAAAGTGTAAGACACTGTGTTCAGATAAATGGCTATATTTATAATAACAGACTATTGATAAGTCACGAGCAACATCAATCACCTGATTGGCGGTGTCGAACTCTGCCTTGGAAATGGCCTCGTCTACGGCCTCCTCTGCCACCCGCAAGGCCACAGTGAGCGTCTCAGCCATGCTGTGCTCTGAACACAAAGAAATACAATAATCACTTGTTCTGTCATTAACTGAAATGTGCTTGCAGTGGAACTGAAATTAAAGCAAAATCATGATTCACTCGTTGCAGTTACGTAAAACAGGAGCAAGTACTTGCATCCTTTTCAGTTTCATTTTGTTTTCTAGCCCTGCGTCACTAATCTCTTTTTGCCTCATTCGTGTTACGGAGCCACCACAGACAGAGGCATGACCATCAGGCTGCTGCAGCTGTTCATTCATGTTTGCTGTCAATCATCCTGTTAGTGCAGTGAACTGAGAGAATGAGGAGAAAGTGAGGGCACAGTGGGACATACAGGACAGCACCCTTGGTGTCAGGTTCCCTGTGTGGCAAATAGTTTCTAGTAGTTTAATTAATCGATTTAATATAAACTGGCACAGAAAAGTCCATCAAACATTTTTACCTTTTTATCACTGAATCTTGAGGCCGCTGCCTTGTAGAGGGGGCCTGTGTCAAAATCTAGTTTTGATGGAAGAGTTTAACATTTTGGGGAGTGACATGAGAAGATTGATAAGACCCCCATATCTGCCCATTCAATATGAAGAAGGAGGCAGCATATGGTTAGCTTAGCTTAGTTTAGTTTAGGATAAACACTAGAAACGGGTAAACAGTTAATTTGGCTCCATCTAACTTAAAAGTTTTTCTTTTGTGTCACGAGAAAATGTCTTTGTCATATGTTTAATATTTCACAACATTTTGTAATCCCATGTGGTATGTGCCAAATGGAAATAAAATCTAACTGAGCTAAAAAATAATCTGCATAAGACTGTATTAATGTCACACATGTCCAATGGTGACTTTAATAATAGCTGCAGCAAAAAAACTGAAAACATTATAAAGCATGTCTGCACCTTCACTTTGTCTGTAGAAGGTTGAGTCGCTCTCACAGACGCTGCCCTCATTGCAGACGCTCTCCTCATAGGCGCTGCCTTCTGTACACACACACACACACACAAAAACAGACAGACAGATGTTCACATGGATGTGAAAAGGCAGATACAGTACGTTCCCATGGCATTAACCTGATATCCTGAAACTGGATCAGGGTGAATTTTTAAATTAGAAGATTAAGCAAAAGAGATGAATGAATAAACAGAAAAAAAGAAGATGTACCTCTTGTGTTTCATTTGCTCAGTGTGACTGAGCAAATGAAATCTTTTTCAGTCCTTTATAAAGTGTGTCACAGATGGCATCAATTTCATGCATCAACTATTTACTCTATATATTCCACACTAATAATAAATGTCATAGCAATGATCACAATTTTTTTTTTTTTGGGAGAAAATGTGCCTGGCAGTATCTCTGCTTTTTAATATGTGTTAAATTTTAAATACGAGTTGATTTTAGAGTTTGTGATTGGGCAGCAGAGAGCTCAGTCATACTGTAGACTGTTTCCCCTTCCAACTCTGAGCCTTGAGCTCTATTCACGTCATGTAAATATTCATGCAACAATGCAGCCATTTGTGGTTATATAAGTGCATTAGTGCGGCCTCGTGTGTGGCATTACCAGGCGACCTGATCTGTGTGCAGCAGGGGCTGGTTCAGAAGTACAGTAGAGTACACAGGGTCACTTCCAATCATTTTAAGGGGCAAAGAGAGGACTTAAACCAAGTGATATGAACTGTAGATTATTTTGAAAATGCAGAGAGCACTGAGAGCACTCTGCTCTGTTTCTTTGAGCCTAATCTATAGGCAGGCATGAGTTCACTGACATGAGTTATCCTGTACATGAAGACAAACTCAGGGTCTTTACTTGTATTTCAGCGGCTGGAGCATGGATTTTGTTCCTGTGACCTCCTCATAGATGTGTGTGCAGACATCTGTGTTATTACATCTAATGAGTCAGGACAATTTGGCCGCAGCACAGGGACATGGAAAAGATTTATGAGCAACACAGTTGCCTCTACCACAGCAGCTAAAGGTTACAGTAACCCTGAGGGCACCATGAGACTCTGAGGATGGTGAACTGACAATGGCATACATGACTATGTATGTCACAGCTCAGATAGAAGCTGCAACGATAAAAGTTAAAGTCATTCTTGGCAACATTTCAGTTTTAACCAAAGAAAACTGAAAACGTGACTCTTTCACTGGCAAACAAATTGTTAAAAAAATGCAATCTCGCGGAGATCAAGAGCATGATAAACTGTATTGTCAGCCCTGTAACACTTTGTCACAGTCAAACTGTAAACCTCTGTAGTATGCAATGTGTCACAAACTCTAATGTACTTGTAAAAATAATGCATAAACTCCATTTGTCTAGGCTTTCCAGTACTCCCCCTGATCCCTGGGTTGTCTCAGACACTGGTTCCCAACATTTATAGTCAAGCAATGCTTACTCACCTCCTCACGGGATGCAAATAGCCATGAGCTATGAGCAGTTCAACCATAGTACCAATTTACACCCACCATTGATTGACCTGTGATCTTTATCTGGGTTAGGAAAAATGTGTGCAAATGTAGGTTTAAATGCACACAGAATGCATTGCGATCAGATTAGCCAAACCAAAGCCTAAATAAAAAAAAAAGAGAATGATAAAAGATTGGTGGTAAATTAATTATATTGATTTATGGTTTAGCATCAGTTCGACTTATGACTTGTGGTTTTTACTATGTGTTCTCTCGCCTCTTTCCACTGCTCCTCGGGGTCACTTTGCTCTTTTGCTTTACTCTTCATAGGAGGATATCTCTGACCACTGTTGAGTCACTGGGCTGTTGGTGGAAAATGCTTCACTGCTGCATGAACCTCACACACAATCATGCCTATGCCCACAGCTTTTAGCTCCCAAATGTCAGCTCTATTAATTCTGACGCTATTCATGCAGCTCACATTGTTCTTACGCAAAGTAAAATTAGCATGAGTCAGACTATGCAGATCGGATTTGGCAGCTGAATAAAAACAGCTGAAGCAGTGCAGGTCAGTCACAAACAAATGAGAATGTATGATACAGCATGTGCTAAGAGTGAGCATGTGAGTGGAAAATGAAAACAGAGCTACCTAAATCAGAATGAGATGCTGAGCGCTGGCCTGATGCCAGCCCACATCAGTCCTCCTCCCACAGGGGTCACATCTCTGCATCATCTGCAACCGGCGACCTCTCCTCCACAAAACATGCATAATTCTCTGAAATCCCTTGTCTATTCAATCAGATCAGAGACTCTGAACCGGGATGCACTCCCCCTGCGCTGTCCCTGACTAGACTTACAGTACATGCTGAAGCATATGCTGCTGGGTGAACACTCTTATTCAAAGCACTGTATAGTACTACCAATACATTTTCAGCACTGCTGCACCAACAAAGCTCCTAACCCTGTCTGTATTTGTGACACATGCTTTATATTAGGCTGTGTAGAACTGCTTAAAGAAATACACTACTGACACAGTGGAGGGAATACGGCTGAAACAGTGTTCCCTGTTCTCTCAGATTATCAGATATTAACATAATACTACCATAACTGTGCAAAGCAAAATGCTGTTGCCTATTTTCTGACTGTCATCTGTGAAATAAAAACATGTTTAAACTGAAACCTCCTGAGGAAAAAAAAAAAACTTTTTAAAATTTAAGTACATATTATATTGCCTTATTATATTGTTTCTAAAGGACAGCTAAAACAGGGAAAATCCATTGAGTGCTTGTGGACACCTGATGAATTTAAGTCCAATATTCATCCTGTTTTGTCTAACAGCCCAAAATCCAAAGACATTTGGTTTACTACCATAAAAGGCCAAGAAAAAACAATCAATCAATATTCACATTTGAGAAGCTGGAAACAGTAAATGTTTTTCATTTCTGCTTAAACAATTACTTAAGATATTAATTGTTTCCCAAATGACTTTATATTGCATATATGTTCAGAAAGGAATCAATTAGCTAATCAGTTAACCAACTAGATGTTTCAGCTCTATTCAAGTTGAAACAAAATGTGTGTTCAACAGCACTGATGAAGTTTACATATGCATCTACCATATGTACACAAGGTTTATTGTATAATAAAACCAAAATAAAGCAGGACTGGGTCGTCACTCCTTGCTGAGTGATGATATGGAGGAAGTAAACAAACATTAATACACTTGAGTCTGGCAGCAGCCAGAGTAATCTGCTGAAGTTATGCGAGATGAAAGCCAAGCAAGAGCTTAATCCTGTTTCACCCTCCTCCTAACTTCCTGTCCTCCACTGCTTTGAGATACAAACAGCAAAAATCTGACAAATTCAAAACAAAATCAAACTCATGAAGTTGAGTAGACACAAAGTCTCTTATACAAACACATCATTTCTCATGAGAGTAAATTCTCCTGACAGTAATCTGTTCACAGCATTCATTATAGGATTAGGCTTGAAGAAAATATATGAACTGATTGAATGATACTCTGAAGCTTAATTATTTGTGGGTTGTTTTCTGTTTCTGTCCTGTACAGGTTTACTTAAAATTTTACTCTAACCATTGGACTAAAATAATAAAATTAATTACAATAGGTTTTAGCAGCAACATTTATGAACAGAGTAGTTTACCAGTCAGCTCTGAAAGCGCACTGTGCTCTGCCAAGTGCTTCCTGTAGAGAGTCTTCAGCACTTTGGCGCTGCCAAATCTCTTGAAGCGCTTCTTCACATTAGTGTAGAACCACTCCAGTGACTGTGTCCTCAACAACCTGAAAGGGACAGAAAGCAAACCTGCAATTTAATTTTCAGTATGTGTTGTATCTTAATACTTTGGCAATACCATTTTAATCTTCATACCAAATCAGCTGATCCAATGGACCAAGCAATCACCAAATCCATAAAAGAAAATATATACGTTGGATCAGCCCATTAAAGTAAATTCTCTGGAAGCCAATAAAAGTCAAAAATAATTATGATATTTATATTTTTCTACGATTGTTCCTCCTGACACTGGAGAGAGAGACTTTGGAGATGGCAAGTTCAAATCAGTTGGAAAATGCAACGCAGCTGCTGCAGTTTGGCAGTATTACAAAATGACACGTAAGGCCCAGCAAATCTTAATGAAGCCATTTGATTTGATGAAGAAAGTGTCATTAAACAAATGGAAATACCATGTCAGAGTTTACCACTCACTGACTGTTGTATTGCCATCTACACAAGCAAGTGAGCAAGTCTGACAGAGATAGCTAAAAAGGAAAGGTAAAAAAAATAGCAGAAATCACATCACAAGTGTTTAATGAAACATTTGTTAAAAGGCTCAGTGAAGTGGAACCTTTTTCTTGACAGGAGACACTTAAATTCAGGATTTAATGGTTAGATTTTCCCCCGAAGTCCCCGTATGAAATTTGCCTCCTGAGATATACAGGGAAATTAATATATAATTTTCATGTACTGGGTAAAATCTCTCTTAGTCTTAAAGTCTTAAAGGTATCAAAAATTACAACATCTGTCATTGTGTTGCAAATGTGGCAAAGATTACATTTAAAGCTGTGGTCCCTTATAATGATACTACTGGTTACAGTATCATAACAGACACTATGTCAGGCAGCAATACACATCACCAACAGATGAATAAGCTGAAAACAACAAATAAACTGCACCAATTTTCACTGGGATTGTCTCATTTTACTACAAACACAACTGTGGTAACAGTTGTATCAGCATCAAACTTAATTCCTTTACAAGCCAAAACCCGTCTCCAGCAGTCAAGCAACTCTGTTGTTTTGCTTCCTTTTCTATCAATTCCTTTCTTCTACTGAAGTTAGCATGCTAACCAGCTAGCCACAGCCTGTCCCGTCTCATAATACCACTTTGTGATGGTGAGTCACTGTAGTGTATAGTCTGCCCTCAGTTCAGCATGAGAAGATGAAGAAGTAGCGCTGCTCAGAGGGTGGATGCTAACCTCTTGTGTTGTGAATGCAGTGATAGCTGAAGCTCTTGGTAAGCGGCCATTATCACCACCACCTGCTCCGAGCAAAAAAACCACATTTGGCGGCAGAGAAAAGTTGCATATCGCACCTTTGAATCAAAATTGTACATCAGAGAAAACCCGTTTTAAAATGTAATTTAATTCCATGCTACACCATTGTAAATTGCATTTTGTTGCATGTTATATCTTTGAGTCACTACAGATCTTTTGAGCCTTGTTTGGTGCATACAATACATTGCCATTTATTATTAAGTGAAAAGGTACAGTACACTGTCAGAGTGGATTTTGATGTAGATCCAGTTTATGTATAATTAGGATTTATCCTCTCATCTTCATGTTTCCTATTTGAGATTAAAATGAACTAGGATTTAATTGAATGTTTAAGAGTGACAGCTGTAGGATACTGCAGAGATATTAATGTCAGCAAGTTTAATGAGTTGCCATCTGTTCACTGTGTCAGTGAGTTTCCATGTGACGGGAGCTAAGTGAAAGTGAGAGTGTGTACAGTAGGTGTGTTGACAGGCACTGAAGGTGACACAGGAAGTTTTCAAGTGTCACCCATCTTAAGATAAGTCCTGCAGTCTACAGTGTGGTGTCTCCATCATTAAGATGATTGTTAAGATGGAAGTAAACCTTTTATAGAATTTACTTCAGTAGTAAAATTTTCTATGATGATACTTATAGGCTCCTTCCTGTGTGGATTTTGTATGTTCTCCTCATGTCTGCATGGATTTCCTCAATCCCATCATCAGACAAGAATGCTGAATGCTTAAATGACTCTGCAAAACCCCAGATTACGCTCAACAACAACATCTAATGCCAAAATTCTCTCTCTGCAAGTTAATATCCGTGTATGTTGAGTACAGTGTGGTTAAAATCCACTGATTTAGCATTGCACTCCTATAGCTTTTTCAGATGTACCCACAATGCAATTCGACCGCTGACAGTTTTTTTTGGAGATTCAGGTGTGTTATGCTAGTGGTGGGTAATGTAGCCTTCAGCTGCTATCGAAGTCTGGTAAACTCACTTCTTTCTAACCTAACACCCCCAGATTTTTATTCATTTATTTATTTATTTAATTTTTTTTTTTTTTTAAAACTTGTGGTCTTCAGCCCCAACCAATGCTGACTGAAGTGATATCACTTGAGGTAATTTATCAGATTTCACACATATTGTTGATTTTAGGAGAAAACCTAAACTTCATCACATATTTGCAAATACTCTTAAAGGTTTTGAAATGAAAACTAAAAATTTTCTTAATTCACAAACAAACATGTACAGAAGAAAATGTTTTCTTCTGTACATGAAAGGCACAGCCCATCTTTGAAACTAAAGTCTTTATCAAAGAAATGAAGAAGTACATTTTTTTTTAACCACCATAACCAAGTGACATGTTTCCTTTCTGTCTTGTTGTCAGGGTGAGTATAAATATTCTAGCCAGTGGTAGACAGTATCTTGGTGACTATGTTTTTGCGAATTAAGTGCTAAATCCATCTCTCCCCCAGCAGAGTAAGAACTTAATAACCTTTGGCGTCACTATCAGACTCTCATCCTTAACTTAGCCTCCGTGTATTTGGCGTGCACACACACGAACGCACACACACACACGCACGCACGCGCGCACGCGCACACACACACACACACACACACACACACACACACACACACACACACACACACACACACACACACACACACACACACACACACACACACACAGAATCACCGCACTACCACCACTATTACCACCAGCGACCTTACCTGCTCTTCTGGCAGACGGAGCAGAGCCAGGCTTTGTCCCGCTTGCTGTAGACCCGGCATGCCTTGCAGACGTTGTAGCAGCAGTCCTGGCACTGGCGCCTGGGGTTGAGCAGGAAGGTGAAGGGCAAGCAGCAACGAATACAGCAGCGCTGGTTGAAACAACTCTGCCGTGACAGCAGGAGGCAGCGACTGCCCTCCTCATCCAGCTCCTGCTTCAGTTCACTGTAGGGAATAGAGGGAGGGAGGGAAGAGAGGGAGGGAAGGGATGGTTAGAGGGACAAAGATAGTCAAACCAGAAAGAATCTGTAAAATAGAGAATATTTAAGTACGGGAAGACACGGATAAATCAACAGTCGTGGGTTTACTATGTCAAATAGGATGATCATCACAATGAGGACATGGCGTGCACATAAACACACAAACAGTCACATAAATCCTCTGCTTCCCTTTAATGAAGATGGATCAGAAATTAAAGTGGTTTTACAAATTTAGTCATTTCATTTCATCAAACAAGCAGCAACATCTAACACATGTATCCCTTAATGTACACTCTTAAATCCAAGGGGGTGAAACGAGTTATCAAAAGAGAAACAATCATTCATAAATGCCTGATGTAACATCGACTCGACATCAGCAGCAGCTTTTCTGCCTGTGTGGCTCCTGAAGCTTAAGTATCATAAACATCTATTATTGCTTGATAAAGCAGCCTCACCATAAGGTCTATTTAGTAGCAGTTCTGGAGATTTCTATCATATAGCATGATATTCGTCAGCAGGTGGAGTTTGCCTCATTGTTATGGAATTGCAGATGTTTTATTCACTTTAAACCTGCAATGACTGGTTTTTAAGCCACGTGGGGACGGCAGAAACAAGCTGAGAACACATCACTCACATATCATCAAATTTTAGTTGTTATGGTGAACTTGTGAGCAAACACTTGCCTATTTACACATCCAACAGTTACAGAGCTACTTTATCACAAGTGTTTCTGTCCAATATTCACTCTTTTTAGCTTTGTTTTCCCTTCCACCAACTCCTGAAAGATATATCCATCTCCTTTAGCTGCTAAATGCTCCACTATGTTCAGAAGCTAGTTGCTAACTTTAGCATACAGTGTGCTTTTAGAGCCTTTTTCAACTGAAAACAAATTTCCATCTGCAACCTAAAAATAACACTATGAGAGCAGTGAGAGTTAACCAAAACCGTAAAGTTGTGAGCTGTAAAACCAACACAATGCTAAAACTTTAGAGAAGAGGAGTAGCAGATCTCATGCACTCGCAGCTTAAATGCACCCGTCAAAGATTTGATTTAATTCATATCTGCACACACGTCGAGTTTGTATGCATAGAAATACTACTGAAAAGCACCGATCCACATCTACATACAGTTGCAGTTACACTCACTACATTTTAAAACAGATGCAGACATGTCAGGCAGGGCCTAAAAAACAAAGGAATAACAAATTACAGTAGGAAAACATGACAGACAGAGGTAGCGAAAAGGACAAATGGGAAGTGGTTTAAGTATGTGTCAAAAAAATCCATTATTTTCACATCAAGGCTGCAGAACCATCAGCTATGACTGAATCATTTATAGGTGATTGCTGCTGTAGACTGATGTAGTCTTACAACATGAGGACAGGAGCAAGAAAAATACACACTGTAGGTATCTAAGTTGGCTTCATTTCAGTTGTAAATAACTAAAATTCAAAATGTAAAGCTTTTATATAGATTGTATTCATAATAATGGGCAAATGAGTTCCAGTTTTTGACCACTGGGGAAAATCCACTTCCTGAAATGGCTGATTTAAAGTGAACTGGTGTGCACTGTGTGTGGTTCATAGAAAAAGCAGCTCAACAGACACAGAGAGAAATGTACATGGGAAGAAAAGTGGACAAAAGCAATAGAAAGACAGAAAAAGACACAAAGCAGTTATAATATGCATCTGATAATCACAAAACTATTAATCAATTAATTGTTCTGTTTATAAATGCCCCTCACAATTTCCTAAAGTCCATGTTGACACCTTCAAATCTAAGAAAAAGTCTAAAAAAAAAAAAAAAGTCTACTGATATTTCATTCACTTCAGTTAAAGAATTCAGCATTTGAGAAGCTGAAGCCTCCTGTTAAATTTAGGCATTTTTGCTTACTCATTGATTACTAAAATTGTTCCACTAATCATTTCAGCTCCACACACTAAGCCGCATTTCTTGAACATTAACCCAGGGAATTCGTACAACACTAACCTTTCGGTCACATTTTCTGTAACTCCCAAGCTATAAAAATTTAACAGTGTCCCTCACACGCCTGTCTGACAGAGAGACGGCCATCCTCTCACTACAGCAGCACACTCCATTACTCAGGCTCGATGGACAGTATAAATAACCCTGAGACCGACCAGACCACTCACACACACGCGCACACGCACACGTACACACTCATGCAGAGTCACAGCAAGGTCCAAGATAGTGAAGTAACATGCAGAAATATACATGCACAAAACACTATCCCATGGAGAAAAATGCAAAAACATGTATAAACACACCACTAACTCTGCAGGACACTGCAGAAATAACCACACAAACAACAGCAACAACATTAATATTTCTCATTTAAATACCTATGATTACACATGAAACATACAATACATGTGCAGCAGCTCACACTTCACATTATCTGTGGTGCAGCTCTGTTCCCACACATGCTCGTCTAAAGGAGCTTTCTAGCTTCAGGCATGAAAAGAGGACAGACAGAACTTGAGCTGCGTCAGCTGCAATAATCCACACAAAAAATCTGTTTCTTGGTGATAAGCTGATGTGGCGTCTACCAATTTTCTAGTGTTTAAGGATGTGAATGAGGATATGTATTCTCTTCTTTGATGAAAATGACAGCCATGTTGTTTTTTATGGGTAATGTGAAATATACTAGCTGAGGCTGCATGGGAATGGTCTACCACCTACTGCTTTGTTAGCTATTGGTTAGTTTAACTAAAAGAGTTGATTGAGACGAATTGAGAGCTTTGTTTCAGTGTTAGAAAAAGATCATAGGGTCGAGTAAGTTAGGTTTATAATGGCAGCAGTTTTACGTTGATGGTAACTAGTGGTAGAAGTTAATTTGTGCCCTGTGTCCTCCATTTTATTTTATTTTTGATTCAAGTTTTGACCCTTTGTAAAAGTATTTGTAAGAAATATTTAACTTAACAAGATAAACACTGTCGCACATTTGTGCCATATCAATATCACCACCTTTTATTTTGTGCTAAATCCAGTAGCTATTTGTTGAACCTAACTCTTTTTTACGGGGATACTACAAAGCTTACACACTCAGGTACCAGTTTATTCAGTACACCCAGCTAAATCTAATGCAGTGTAATACAACAGTTCTGATGTTGAGATACGAGATTATAAAGTTGAGTTGAGTTTTTGTCACACTATTTTAGAGAGGTACTGATTTTGTACTTTGTGGTGCTGTTAAATTGTATTTAATTTATCCAGACAGCAAACAGCTGCAGTGTTACAGCAACAAGTCACATAAATCAAAAAACCATGGAAACAGGACACTCGAAGAGGGAGATGAGAAAACAAAATACAATTAAAGCCATAAAAACAGACAGATCAAATCTGAGAAAAGCAACTTTTTTACTGTTGTGTGTGAGACATGTCAAAGCTTTGTGTTTGACAAAGTATCTCTGATCCTGATAAAGACTAGCAACATATTCTAATGTCTATTAAATATACACACCGTTCTAAAATTCAGGTGGCTCTCATTGACATCAACAGGATGGGTAAAAAATTAAAAACACCTCTCTGTATAATGTAAGGCAGTACAACAGCACCACAAACTACTATACCCATCTCTACAACAGAAACTCAACATCAAAACCTTCATGAAGGAGGATTTTTCTACAGGACTGATGTTTTAGACTGGGTGTACCTAATAAACTGACAACTATGCGTGTCTCATGGCTGAAAGAAAGTGGATACAAGATTGTGTGAAAGCAAAATCTAAGTACATGTATTTACATTCCTTTACATGTAACTACTAAACTTTGCCTAATTTCAAAGATTATTAAAACTAATTAGTGTTCATTCTTCAAGTAATCTCACAGTTTACACAGGATTAGGCAGATTTACTTGAAACTGTAAATACACACTATAATATATGTGTACGCACATGGTTGTTAAAATAACGCACATAAAATCTTTCGACTTAATGTTTACTGAAGTGTTTCAAAGCCTTTACACTGTTTAACACTCCCACTGTTGGAAAGTGAATCTCGCTAATCTCATCCTGTGCTCTTCCTTCCTTTTTCTTTGTAGAGACTGTTATCTGAAGTAGTTACTGTGATGAAACAATCTAGAGAACAAGGGCAGGGCAGACTTTGTCTTTCACAATATCAGTTCGGTTTTGTGTGATACTTCAGTCATCTGTCACAGATACCCGCATGAGGTCATGAGCGGTGGTGCACGCACGTTTCAAAATGTCACGTATAGAAGGTGATTGCTTTCCCATATATATATATATATATATATACTCCCCTGTCTTTCACTCACTGCTGTTTCACATTCAGGGAGGCTGCCGAGTTTCATCTCAAGGGGTGGCAGTGCAGAAATTGAGAAGCAGGGTGCATGAAGTTGGAGCCCACTTAACGACTAGACTGAGGAAGCAGAAAAGTGCACAACCTGCATGACATGAGGGATTTGCCTTATAGATGTGATATCAGAAAACGGTACATGATCTTATCTGTCAATGTACTTCTGCTAAAGAGGAGATGTGATATGAATGTGTTGGACATCATTTCGCAGCTTGGTTTTTAGATCCTTATGGTGAGAGATCATCTTCTTGGTCTCTTCATGAACAGAGAAACTGGTATGAAGCAACACAGAAATATCAGAACACGTCTAAACATACTTGATGAGCACTTCTAAGAGAAAGTAGAGAGCTCTATACTTAATCGCTTTGAGTCATGTCACATGAAGATTTTACAAAAAACTCTCCAGCTGCAAATATGATTCAGGTAGAAAAAACTTAAGTTGTAGTTTCAGTGGTGTCAGTTGATAGCTGATTTTTTTTTTTTTTTTTTTTTTTTTTTTTTTAAACATGCTTTTCTGTGTTTTACAGGCTTCACATCAAGATAAAACCCACCATCGTGTAATTACACACTGGTCACAACAGTTTTCTTCTGCACAAGGACATAAAATTAGATACTACACCAGGATAAAGTATTGTTATACTTTAGCGCTTTCTGTTTTTTTTGTTTGTGTTCCCAGTGGAGTTGTGCAGGCTACAGGATTTTATGACTATCCAGCTGATCAAGTGTCAAACCAGAGTATATATATACACTCAGTTTATTAGGTACACCTAACTAAAGCTAATACAGTCTAACACAACAGTCTTGCCATAAATCCTCCTTCATGAACGTTATAATGTTCAGTTTTTGTTGAAACTGTTTTACAGAGGTGTTCATTCAGCTGTATGGACATTTTAGAGGCTGTAGTTTACTATTATTTTGTCCACCCCGTTTGTATCAATTAGGGTAGACTAAATAACAGAAAACACATGTCAGTATAATGTCATACAGTTCAGCAGCACCACAAACTAAATACTCCAAAATGACCATGAAATTGGCTTGGCCGATTTCCTGTCCTCTAATTAATTGTAGAAATGCCAAACCAAGTGTGAGGGAGTTCAGACAGTGTCTCCATTACATTGTTTGTCCACTAGAGGCAATGATAAATTGATTTTTCAACTGTAAAATGTCCCGATTACTATGGATTGTGGTCACAGTTTAAGACCTGAGGACTAAACACAAACAGCATTATGAAAATACTATGATATTGGTTCTCCTCACTTTTGGTACTTGACTATCAAAACAAAGTAGCATATTTGAGTGAACTGGCAAATGATCAACTTAAATGCTCAAATACAATCCACTAACAGCATTTTTAAATAACTTCATTATGAGATTAAATACACATGTCAGATTGTCATTATTCTCTAAACTGAAAGTGTCCTTGATTGTAACCTTAGCAACACAGATAAAAAAAAATGACTTCACCAGTTTGGAAACGTTGATGGTTTTTTGCGCTCGCTCTCTCTTAAAAAACACTGAAGAACACTAAGAAGATGTGATTTAGGGATTTAGAAGGTTGGAAATCTTTGAGGCCCTTAAAATATGTTCTAATTTTATAATGAATACTCATTATTTTATTGTTTTGCTTAACAAGTTTATTATTCTCTCTTATTTTACTTACAGGTGTTTTGAATGCTGTGTCATGTGAGTATTACGTTTCTATACAACTACACTGCAACAGCAAATATATTTTGTGAGAAACATAACTGTGACAGATGACGTCTTCTTTTAACATGATGACAATATGTTGTTAAATATGCAAATATGTTAATAATGAACATATCAGTTCTGCCAAAATATCACATCTTCCAGTACTTGCATTTAACCAAAGCATTGACCACACTGCTTATATTTCCACCACTATTATGTTTATATCAGAACTGTTCAAACATCTGTCATCATAAGAAATGACTCCATGGATGAAAAAGTTCCAAGCAGATTGTCACTTAGGTCAAAATACAAAAAGGTGGGGCTGGAGCAAATTTCCATGTTAAGACAGATGTAAATCTGAGGGAAATTACAGTCATTAAATTTATCTTGCATATGTGCTCCTTAAAAACCAGTTTCTTATCTGACTGGGTTCCCTGGTCACTGAAAGCATTTGGTAACGTAAGCAGAGGATTTCTATTGTGTGAGGGTTAGGATTAGCACGAGGTGCAAGTAAGAGTGTCATGGGGAAATGACCTAACTGTTTATTCTTAATCTCTGAATACAAATCATTTCCGACTATTATGCACCTCACTCACTCTCTGCCCAGACTCAGGTCGATATACACCAGAGACCAGAGACTCCAGTTCAAATCCACCCAATTAGCATATCCTTCTGTCTTTCCATTCGCACATATTGTGTTTGGGCTCTGAGGCTTGATAGAAGTTTTGAGGAAGCTAGTCTGAGTACAACAGGAAAGGGCTGTCACTTCCTGTCCGGTATTTTTCAGGAGAGACTTCAGAGCAGAGAGACAGGACGGGAAATCTCCTTTGAGGACTAAAAATGCATCGAATGCTAACAAAGTCCCAGAGAATGGGAATAGTAAGAATGCTGTAAATGCATACTACTTATACAACATACTGGATTGTAAAGCTTCTATTTCATTCAGTTTTTCTGTTACAGATGGTCTAAAACTGCCTGTGATAAAAGACGAACTGATGAAAATTAAAGTAGCTACTGATTAATCAATGTGATAATGTGAAAGGGGTCACTCGTAGTGATGAACCTACATTTAGAGAATTATCACCTAAATCTACAGCTTCCCTTGGCTTTAAGGGGCTTTGTAATGAGTTTCAGCTCATTGTTTCTCTGTCCAGTCCCAAACTTTACTGTTTTGGTTCACTCTCACTGCTCTTATAGCATTGTTATCAACCACAGCAGGCAGCTGTTTTTGAGAGAAAAACCAACTGTACACTACCTGCCTAGTACCAAACAGCAGACAGACACCGTTAACGACCAGCTGGTGAATATAGTGGAGCTTTTAGCAGCTAAAGAGATATTAAGTACGGAAGAAAAGATCTTATTACTACATCTACAACTGACCCTAAGTAGTAAATATAGACTTTCAGTATAATGTGTTCAAGAGGCCGAGAGTGTCTAAGAATAAGGAAGGGAGTCATTTCAGTGGGGCATGAATACATAATGACCTAAGAAAATCACTCTGACTAATCAGTTTAGTGATTGATCTGCTGGCTGCTCAGGGGCTCAAACCTGTGACATGTTCACGACCATGGAGGTCTGAACTCACCTGAGACGTTCCTCCTCCTTCTTGCGTAACTTCATGTCCCTCTGCACCACCTGCAGCACATGCTCTGCCTCGTTGTCTGTTAATCCCGACAGGTCCAACTTCCGGCCCATTGCTTGCAAACCTCTGGCTGTCACTCAACCCCTCTGACCATTCAATCAGCTTGTTGTTTTCATCTAAAAAAGAGAAAGTTAAAGATTACAAATAGAATGAATCAACAAAAGACACAAAGGACGCAGTTAAATTCCTTATACCTTAGTGTATAGCTACTTTTTAGCTCATTTCCACCACATTTCAGAGGGAAATCTCTCTTTCACTCCATTACATGACATTTATCCGACATGAATAATTACTATTTTTCAGATCAGAACATTAAAAAAAAAAACACAATAAGCTTATAAAATACAATAGATTGTAAAATATTTACTATTTCTACTTATGAAAGATTTGGAATGCAGGACTTTTACTTGTGAATGAGTAGTTATGTAAAAATGTATTGGTACATTTGGTTAAGTAAAGCATCAGATTAGGTTCTCCACCACTGGTGTATGTGATAAGTACATAGTGCTTGTATGAGCTCATACATGGTAGGCTTCTGATATGTTGTTTTAGGTCTGTAAAGCCCTTAAGGACACAAGAGTGATAAAATGATACATAAATGAACTTAAAAGGATATAATTTAATAGCATTTGTAACTATCTCTTGACATGGAATGTAAACATGGCAAAAATATTTCTCTGCTGTAGCCTGTATTTATGTAGAATAATGAGGAAAGTAATAGTAGCTCTTCAGACCACAAAAGGTATGGGGAAATATTGTCAGAAGTAAGCCATCTACTGCATGACAAACCTCTCTAGTTAGTGAAGCTTTTATTTCATACAGCTCACACATAAACACCCTCCTAGTTGACCTTATATAGTTAAGCATTGTGTCCATAAACACTGAAAACTCATTTTGACGTCCTACAAGCCACTTACACAAGTAAATCAGGGGTATTAACACCAAGCAGGATTAGGGATTTCTGCATTAGCATTCCTGAGGAGAATATCTGTCTCTATGTCAAACAGGAGGTTGAAGACAACTTTTTGTTTTAATGATTGAAGCCAGGATAACAGCAAATCAGGATGTGTGCAGTGAATCAATGTGGATGTGAGCTTCAATACAAACAGTAGTGTTTATCTGAATACCAACTACGATTATGATTGATATATTTTTCATGCATCGGATCTTGGAAGCTGTTTCACTGGGATGTTAGACAAATATCAAAGTCTACAAAAAATAGGATTAATACCAGAAATAAAGACAATTGTTCCTCAGGAGTGATCACACAAGTTATAAGAAATGATTCTTGGAATTCTCACAATTTTCATCCAGGCTTCTGACAACAAACTTTATAAATCTATCATGTTCATATAAAGATATTTTAGGCATTTTACTTTATATTCCGTTCTTAAAGAGTCACTTAAAGTCAAATGTAGAAAAACTCACCGATTTCTGAGTCCGTTGTCCTCCGTGTTTGTAACAATGACCACCAATTTACTTTCACAGCTGCAAACAGTGGGAAAAACACGAATAAAATCCGTTCACACCTCGTGTGAATTGTTGGTGAGTCAATGCCCAAAAATCGACCAATATTCAAAGTTTAACGGGGTCTTTTTTAAAACCTTTTCTCCGTAGCCGAAGTTGGGAAGTTTAACTGCACGTGGTAACCATAGGCAGGTCTGATCAGCGCAGCCTGTCCCGGTGTCTGGGAGAAAATCAGGATAAAGCTGGGCTTGGTCTGCTTCCACTCTGCTGGGTACAACCAAGGAGACGACATGGAAGTTATGAAAGCTAGTGTTTCAATTAAAGAAAAAACGTTTATATATCATATAAACACTGATTCGGATCATTAGAAGAGTATAAAGGGTTTATCTTCTTTGAGATTCCTAACGAAAAGATGTATTGAATTTCTTGGACACATGTGTGCCTTACATGTGTAATAATTACGTTTAGACCACTGTCTTGATTCACAGCCGCTAGAGACTGATGGGATAATAGGAGCAGGTGTGCAGCTGTGTGGGGAGAGCAAATGAATGAAGGCAGGAAACTCGCTGAGGGCAACTAGTGGACAGGTGGAGAATTAGAATGATGGAAGAAATATTCAGACCTTTTAAGCAGTTAAGTGAGAAGTACTTGATACAATGTTAACATTTGCGTTCTTCTTCTCCTTTATCATTTTTAATGAAATTTGGTACAGGTTCTCTTGTGACACATACTATTTCGTTATTTAAGGAGGAGGGCAAGAGGTAGGAGAAGAAAGAGGAGGTAGAAAAAAAGGCTGACTGGATAAGAAGAAATAGGAGATATGTTTTGTTGAGTTGTGTACTTACATTATCCTAAATGTTTCCAGCAATATCCAAACCTATCCAAATACGTGATTTTAAGGGTGGTTTCATTTGATCATCTGTCAATGGCGTCATATCCCCTTTGCGCATGCGTCAACATTGTGGTCTGCCAGAATCATTCAAAATTGACTTTTTTTTCCGGTTGTAATCCACATTTTTATACTTTTTAGCTCTTGATTGTTTTTAACTATTTACTTTAACTGGATGAAGGATTTTACTTATCTTAAGTTATCAAACCATATAATTCCCTCAACCAACTTCTGCTGGTTCTTCTAATCTACCAGAGTGATCATGCAGTGGCCCAAATAAGTGCAAGCACTTCCCCAGTCTCTCCTAACAGCAAAGTTACATGGCCAGTGTTTCTCAATAAAGATGTGTTCATAAAATTAGGTTTTATCAGTTGGAAACACACACTGGATTTTACCATTCTCTCTAAAACTAAAACTAGCTTTTGTTAGATTAACCCTTCTTCACCTTCACTGAGCTGCAGCTTGTAATGGATGACTTTTAAGTGTAATGGACCTTTTTTATGTTGCTGTATTGTGTACTGTGGTGTACTTTTACTCATTAAAAGGATATGATCTCTTTTTTCACCACTGGATGTAATGATTTATTCAAATGCTGCATACAACAATTATTGCTGAGCTTGTAGTAAAATTTGTTATTGTGAGTAATGTTGTTATGGCTCTAATTAATTACATTTTTGCCAGAACAAGTTACATAAGGTTTAATGTCACTAATATCAAATAAATTGTAGGTACATTACAACATAATGACATAAAAGGGAGAAACTTTTGAAAACAAAATATTTAAAAATAACTTCTGAAAAAATACATATGATAAAAGGAGATTTAGCAGGTGAGTGCAATAGTAATTGCATGCTCTCACATCATTTGTTGCTTCCAACACAAAGTGTCTTTTTTTTCCAAGTGAATTTTATTTTGATAAGCAACTCAGTTATTTTGTCTTCATTCAGAGTACATTGCAGGAAGTGTTGTTCTGACACAAGGTCTGTCCCAATACCCACACTTGCACTCTTAGTGAGTAATCAAGTGCCTACTTGTATGATGTATTTCCAGTTGCCACAATGTCTGTGTCTGCCACATGGTAAATGAGGACATGCCATCACTCATGTGCCAATGTTGTTGGAATAATTCAGTCAGTCATACAGTTTTACAGTTACAATCAGATAAAATAGGCCTAATAAAAACAACACATATTCAGGGGCTGAGAGGAGACTGCAATTAAAAAAGACAATAAATGGCGTTATCTAGAAGCCCATAGGTCTACTGTGCATTAAAGAGACATAACATTACATAATTGTTGATGTTTTCTGTCTGATAATATTTTAAAGTATGGAAGCTATTTCTCAAAGTCTCTACACAGATATTTCACTCAATACAACAATATACAAAATTTTACAATGTGCAATATGTAATCATTGTATGTAAGACAGCTGTGAAATCCATCCATGTGCAATGTACTGCAAGTTAAGGAACAGACAATTGGTAAGTTCTCAGAAATGTTATCAGTGTAGTAAGATAGATGGAGTAAGAAAGATTACAATCCAATTTCTTGTAATGGATGTCAAAACATAGTCAGTCTGTGTGTGTTTGTGAATCTGGTCTTGCTTCATTTCAGCGGTGTGCCTCATTCTTTTACAATACCAGTGGTTGTTGGGCAATACCCACAATTTCTTTGCCCTAAAATATTATTCAATAAATGCAAACACTGCAGATGCATGAAAAGGGTATGCTATTTAACTATGCTGCTATTTAGAGACAGAAAGCTCAAAAGCCATCCACAGAAAAACCTATATCATGGATAGATACAACCTGGCTGAAACAGGAATTGATAGTGAAGTATTTTTTTTTTATATGTCATAAAAAAATATTTTAGCAAGTATTTGTTTTTTTAATACAAGAAGGGATGTCATAAAAATACATAATTGATAAGGATCCCTTACATTAGTTTAAGAATATTACACTTGTTAAATCTTGGACATATTTGGGACATTCTACAGTTGAGAAATAAACCTTTTTCAATCATTAACATCAAGAATAACAGTAAATCTTGAATATTAACTTAACAAGAAATTAAAAGAAGTTCAGTGAAACTGTAGAAGAAGATGGTTTTCTGTGTAAAATATTAGATTGTAGATGGTGGGAGGAACTGTGGACTACAGATAAAAGAGTATGGAAAGAGGTAAACAACAAGGGTCTAACTGTAGAGGAGGAAGAGGAGGTTTTGATGTGTTTATGTTGTGCAATTATGTTGATTTCATCATTTTAACGTGTTGAAATCACTGACCAGGTGCAGTTACTGCTCTGTTATGAACAAATAATTTGTTTTTGTCTTTAGACCCAGAACTTACAAAATCTTCTAGATTTCACAAATCATCCTCTGTTAGAACTGATAATGTGCGTCTTTCCTCTGCATCCATCTCCTGTGGAGTACCAAAAGGCTCTTTATTTTATTTTACCTTTGTATTCCCTATCTATTTTCAGAAAATATAATACCTACTACCATTATTATACTGACGACGCCCACGTACTGGATACCTCCCACTGAAATCTTATGATCCAAGCAGTGTTAACTTAACATTGGGGATCTAAACTCTGGATGGCAAAAAGTTTCCTTCAGCTAACCCAGAAAAGGCTGAGGTCATAATCGTCCCTGTAGACAACTCTGCAACTACAGTCAATGCCCACGGGCTACTGCCACTGGATGCAAAGTCCCACACAAGAAATGTTGATTCTAGTTTGAAATTTGATAAAACACTGGCTTCTTACATCTTACATCACTTACAAAATTAAAATCATTCCTGTCCATTAAAGATTTGGAGACTACAGGTCACACTCTCCTTTCACCTGGACTACTGCAATTCTCTCTATCTAGGAATCAGTCAGTCCTTCACAAGGGCGTAGCTTTGGTCTCAACATTGGTAGGTACACAACAACTCTGCCACCCCTCCAAAACAAAGAGAAATTGTTGAGAAAATTGTATACAAATATAGAATTTTAATAAGCATGTTGTTTTCATAGAGTTGCATTTTCCTATGAGTATTTCATATATGTTATAAACTTGTATATAAATATATCCAGAGGATGTATATATGTCATAATGTTATATCCTCCTATAGGTGACACAGATGGTAACAGCACTCTTAATATAAGGACATATATGTCATATATATGTCCTAAGTAATAGTATACTAAGGCATAAAAACGTCATACTATAGTAAGGCACAAAAAGTCATAGAATGGTAAGGCATAAAAAGTCATTGTATACTAAGTCATAAAAAAAAGTGCCACAGTATAGTAAATCCTGAAAACATCATAAAAACATCATACTCATACTATGCTTGCTGCACTCAAGGCATAAATGTCAAACAAGATGAAAATGTCATGCTATAGTAAGGCATAAAAAAGTCATTGTATGGTAAAGCATAAAAAGTCATAATATAGTAAGTCATTAAAACCCACACAGGCATTGAGAGAACATACAAACTCCAAACAGAAGTTCCCCAGGTCTGACATTCAAACAGAGAACCTTCTCACTTTGAGGTGATGGTTTTAACCACTGGACCACTGTGCCACCACATAAATAAATCATAGTAAAGTAAGGCATAAAAACATCAAAGTATAGTAAGTCATAAAAATGTCAAAGTATAATAAGGCATAAAAAGTCATAGTATAGGAAGGCATTAAAAAGTCATAAGTCATAAAAAAGTTATAGTAAGTCATAAAAACATCATATATAGTAAGTCATAAAAACGTCATAGTATAGTAAGTCATAAAAATATCATAGTATAGTAAGTCATAAAAATATAATAGTATAGTATGGGATAAAAAGTCATAGTATAGTAAGACAATAAAATGTCACTCTATAGTCGGGCATAAAAAGTAATAGTGTAGTAGGTCATAAAAAAACCCATGGAATAGTAAGGCATAAAAAAGTAATAGTGTAGTAAGGCATGAAAAGTCATAGTATAGTAAGGTGTTATGTGCCCTAGGGTTGTGTTGTATGTGTGTGTATGAGTTGTTCTGCCCTCTCCTTTTCTCCCACAGGTGTTTCGGAACGACTGATCCCTGTTACCAATCAGGAGCCGGACTA